TTTTTTTGAGGCATTTCCGTGGTGAGGCGTTTCCATAGCACCCCCTTGACCATGCTTTTTTTTAAATGAATAAGAAATAAGATCATATCATTTTCATATTGCAAAGTCAAAGTAATAAATGATTACTTGACTCTGTTAGTTAAGCAGTACTCCCTTAAAAGCTCAAATACACTTCTTAAAAAGGTTAGCCTTTATATAGTGCATTGACAATGTAATAAAAATAACCATATACCACTGTAAAACCAAACCAAACATTGTTTAAAAAATCATTAAAAACACTCAAAAAAAAATTTTCGGCGGCGGCGCGTCTTATTGCACCCCCCCTGGTCAAATCCTGGCTACGGGCCTGCCCATGCATAGAACCCTATAATATGTATATTTATGTTTAGATATATCCGCTCTAAAACGAAGAATCTGATAGCGAATATGTTTACCGAGCCTGTACCCCAGGACTCTAAACTAGTTATATCCAATGCACTTTATTTCAATGGTATGTTTACATACAGGGTTACCCACAAAGGATGAAACTTTAAAGACGACCTCAAAATTTTTCAATATGACGATCCGAAGATTACAATTTGCGTTATATCTTCAAAGTCGATTTTAAAAATTGACTAATTTTGTTAATAAAAGATGAAATTTGTAAGAAACCGTGAAAGTAAGAAAAATTAGTTATTATTTTCCGTACAGTCATCTCTGAAGTCTCTGAGTTGAGGCTAACCCTGTAGTAGAGAGGATATAAATAGTAAAGGGAATTTTGTTAACAATTAGTTGACAATTTTTACAGCTTTAAAAGATTTAAATTCTCCAAGGTTTTTGTAGCAAGAAATCCGCAAGTTACCCATTTAGAGAATCCGCAATTTAAATAAACCAATTCTTTACAGAAAAATCATGAATAAATCATTCATTTTTTACTCCGTATAAAAAGCATTAATATATTCTGGGTTCTTATTAGTCAAATATGAATTAATGTAATAATATTGGATATCATAGAAACAAATAATATAAAATATTTCAAAAGCACCATTTATGAACCAAAATGGAGGATGAATTGAGGATGAATGGAGGATGAATGGAGGATGAATAGAGGATGAATGGAGGATGAATTGAGGATGAGTGGAGGGTGAATGGAGGATGAGTGGAGGATGAATTGAGGATGAATTGAGGATGAATTGAGGATGGATGGAGAATGAATTGAGGATGAATGGAGGATGAATGGAGAATGAGTGGAGGATGAATGGAGGATGAGTGGAGGATGAATTGAGGATGAATGGAGGATGTTTGAGGATGAATGGAGGACGAATTGAAGATGAATGGAGGATGAATGGAAGATGAATTGAGGATGAATTGAGAATGAATGGAGGATGAATGGAGGACGAATTGAGGATGAATGGAGGATGAATGGAGAATGAATGGAGGATGAATTGAGGATGAATGGAGGATGAATTGATGATGAATTGAGAATGAATGGAGGATGAATTGAGGATGAATGGAGGATGAATGGAGAATCAATTAAGAATGTTAGAAAGGATCACCAAATATAAAATACAACTATAAATTCTAAAAAGCTAATCACTCCCTAAAACTTTAATGTCCATATCCAAAGAATCAAGTTAAATAAGGAGTCCAGTACCTTTAATGTTATTTAGGAACCTGGGAGTATGAATTTGAACTGTCTGCAGATTACACTGGAAGAGAAATTCTCTTCAACAGTTTCAAAACTTCCATTGATATTACTATAATGGAGGGAAACATGGACTTTCCTTTCCTTGCAGGTAGGTTTCAACTTCTCAAATTTGAGTATAATTTTGGTCATCAAGGGGGGGGGGGGCGGGGTTGTATTTATAACTGTGATGTATTAGAACTTCTCAGAGACTGGTTAAATGTATAAATTTCACAAACCAGGCTTTTTCAGAAAAACTCAAATCTTTGAATAAAAAGTATCACAGTAAAAAGTGTACACAACCTCTAAACCCCCAACCTAAGATTCACACACATCCCAATTATACAACCTTTTCTATATCGACATTTTTTCATTTTTAAGAATTCCGCTGTTTTTTTAGAAACTTAATGATGTGTTGAGTGAGCTAACCAAATATTTGGTTAAGACAATCTTATTAGATTCCACGTGTTTTTATATAACTTATGCTACACACACCTCTGACCCTTTAGTAAAAGTAAATTCAACCTAAAGTCTGACCGAGTCAACCTTGTTGCACCGGCTAGCCCTATTGTGGGTCTGCTTTATTTTCCCAATGTCCGGGTGATACAGTACAAACTGGGACCGGATAGGTTGACCCGGCTTGGAAATTCAAATGTACTACGGCTGACCGTGGCTATAAAGAATTGATAAAAAAGGATCAAAAGATGAGAGAAATAATACTCTCCCCTTCTTGAGAAGAAGAAAAATATTTTGAATTTCAAATATGTAACCGGATAAACCTGACGCATATAGGAACTGAGTTTTTGCCACAAACTCTGATTATATGGGTATATCTTTGCAACCCGATGTCAATAAACCTTTGTTATTTCTAACATGTGCTTTTAGATCAAATAGTATAAGCTTGAATATCAAAGATTTACACCATCAGGTTGCAAATATGTAGAGACTAAAAATTTTAGTTTGTGGCAAAAACTCAGCTCCTGTCACGGTACATTCTAGATCATTTCATGTACCGGGCCAAATTTCAGCAAGCCAGGGTAAGTAGTACAGTACAACTTCAGGCAAACCGAGACGGTACGGCCAAATGAAATGTGAAATGTCTGTGCTGTGTCTTGTTCAATTTGCTTTAAATATTTTTTGTCTCAGATCCTGAAGTCGGATTTCAAATTGCCAGTCTTCCATACGAGCATGATAGTAAGATCATAGAATATTTTTATAATATCAAATTTTAAACAATATTAATTCATATAGTTTATTCGACAGTATGTTTATTGTTTTTGTTTTTTTGAAAATGAAATTACAAAAATGTTAGAAATCTAAGAGTCTTTAGTAAATATTATTTTGAACTAAATTTTCTAATTTTGTAAATTAATTAGAAGACAAAGTATTATATGTTAGAGAAAATATAAAATGAAAAATATTTAGTTAGAAATGAAGAGATTTCGGAGGCCCACATGTTCTTTGTACTTCCCACAAGGTATTCAAAAAAGAATTTTTTATGAGATTCTGATTTCATTAGAAAAAAAGAATTGATTTCAATTAACAAAACTCACATTTCTCATAATAAAACAATTGTTTAAACGTCAAGATTGTTTTTGAATGAAACCTGAAAGGATGGATCGTCAATTTTACGACAAAATTGACCATTTCAAAAATAAAATTCAATAATAAACCCTTTGGTTACGCCCTCGGGTTTATCATTGAATCGATCAAGGGTTTATTTTTCAATTGGCTCTAATTTTTCGGAGAGTAAATAATTTTTGTTTGTAAAAAGTTTTAAACTTCTGGTAATCATTTCATTACTCTTTAAGAGAAGTTATGAAAATCAGAAATGATTTTTTAAGTCTAACCCAAAATATTTATATAAAAAAAATCAAAAATGTGATTCAATATTTCAGTTTTAAATGCAAAGGAATTGAGTCTTTGCCACAAACTCTGATTTTCTAATCACTATATCTTTGGAACCAAATGTTGTAGACCCTAGATATTTCAAACTATGAGTTCTGTTGGATCAAATATTCTGAGCTTGAAATATCAAAACTTTACAACATCAGTTTCCAAAGATATAGGGGTTTTAATATTTGAGTTTGTGGCAAAAACTCAATTCCTTTCTAAGAAATTTTGCACACATAAAATTCATGTTTTGATAAGAGTGTCACTTAGTTGCATTCGCATTGCATGTTAATTGTTCATTATTCAAACTTCATGCAAAAAATAAAGCTTATTTTGTTTTATCATATACAATTGAACTATATGCATGATGCAGCGAGTCTAGTTCTGAATTGTGATATTAAGTAAAATATAAAATATAAAATATAAATTATAAAATATAAAATATAAAATATAAAATATAAAAAAAGATAAAATATAAAATATAAATATAACGTATAAAAGATAGAATTATTGTTCTAAATACGCGCAGAAAAAAACAAGATTCTTGGATTAGTTTGTGCATATTTTAATTTTAAAGGGACTGTGGGCGTAATTTCATGTGAGTTCCCATGCCTGGTCCACGACGGTTCCCATTTTGTCAGCAATGTTAAAGATATTGTCACTTTTCTGTTTAAAATTGTTCTAATGAGTCCGATATGTTTTCTCAAAATAGAAACCAAAAAAATGAAAATAGTCAATTTTTTTCAAATTATAAATATTAGTATTTACTCCATACTTGATCAGACAAAATGGTACGGTTATAAAATCGGACATTGCCATCTTTGCATGGAGGGTCACTTGAAATTACGCTTACAATCCTTTAAAGCAAGAATGCGATAAAAAATGTCCACGGAAAGTTTGTATATTTTAAGCCTTGGGGGACATATTGAGTATTTTCTTAAAGGTTAACAGACCTTTTTACGCCATGGAGAAAATCCAATATAATATTATGATATGGACGCTGCACAGTACATGGATATTGGATATCTATAAATACTAATACAACCAAAACACAACTTCAAGAGACTGTAAGCGTAATCTTAAGTCACTCGCCATTCAAAGTCCGATTCACAACCGTACCCTTAAAAGATTTGTCTAATCAAGTATAAATGATATATCAATGTTTATCATTTTTAAAACTGATCATTTTCAATCGTAGCTTTTCTACAATTGTGACTTGAGCAGATCTATTGCGGGAATGAATATAAATTTTAGTTTAGAAAGAACCCCTTTTAAACCTTGAAGAACAACAATATATTCCACATTATTGATCAGATATAAGGTTGTTAGGGTACCTTTGTGAATTGAGCAATTTGCACTTTGCACTTGAAAAAAATACGCTTACAGTCCCTTTAAAGGGAAGGAGAAGAAGAATATAAAAATCTTGAGCAAAAGATGACAAACATGGATTGGGAGGTAAACTTTTTGACATTTTTTTTTGTACTTTTCCTTTCATAACAAATATAGTTTCCACATGCTGAACTTTAATGCCGCCCCGGTTTTTTTTTTTTAAATTTTTCGTTCTCATATGATATATCACAGCCGGCTTTATGTTAAAATAATCATTTCTCTAGGATGTGTTTAATCGAATGGACCAAGTTTATGGGGAGATACAAATTCCAAGGTATTTTAATTATAAATTGATATCCGTCAATGAAAATAAGTTTAAAGACGACATTTTGTTTTAGAATGAAAATGGAGTTTCAGGCAAATCTGGCCCCAACCCTTTCAAATCTAGGTAGGTTATACGTTCATTGAAATACAACTGAACGAGTTGGGTTCATTATAAAACCGGTTTAACAATGTTTTTGATGGATTTTCATCGTTGGAATTCACGGATATCGGGACTTGATTAGAATGAGACTCTGACTCAACATCTATGAATCTTGTCTGTTTTTTTTTATCCAATAAACGTCGAAACAGCTGAACCGATCGGGCCCAACTTTTTTGTGTGACTTTACATGTTCCATGTTTAGGAATGATAAAAATTTCAAAAATTTGCCTGCAACAAATTTTGTTTTCCACTAAATTAAAAAATCCACGATTTTTTTTAAAACCTCCAACTTTTTTTCGTTTTGTTTTACAATGTATATATACAAAGAGGAAATGTTCACAAGATGACGATGAAGCCTCGGGCCCAAATTTTGTGTGGAACCTCATATGACCCAAGGGAAGATTTATGGATGATCAACATTTTAAATAATTTGCCTCCATCAAAATTCGATTTTCAAAAGTTTGAAAATCCACACGGATGAGATACGTTTGGTCTCTACAAATTGAATTTAATATCACGCTTTGGCTTGGTTTGGTCTATATATTATATCATATATATCATAATTCATCAATTTCTAAACTTACATTGTTGTTTAATTATCCGCAAAAAAATTATCCGTAAAATAAAATAAAAGAGAAAAAGTTATAAAGTTGTGTTTAAATGTGGTCAAATTGTAATCGGAAGAACCCGCTTGCTGGAGAACTGTTATTCAGCGTATATGTGAACCAGCAATCACAATTATTATGTTGAAACTGGAGGACCCTATATCCTGTGATTTAAAGGTCTCAATCTCTTAAGCAATAATCGATGAGAATTTTGCCAATTACTTCTTAAATACCAAAGCTAACAACAAGTGCTTTACAGGGCTAGATTGTATATGCAAGGGCTACAGAAAAGCATGAGTTACCGCAATAAGATTAAAGCCCAAGGGGTTCGGGTGCGACACTTCAAAGTCAAACTTTAAACATTGATGAGACTTTTTATATCACTGAATCCATGTGATATCGCCTATTGGTGGTTTATGGTAGTAGGCCAGGATACAAAACATTACTTCCAAAAAACCGATTTTGAGAAGAACCAATAGAATCTACTACAAATAACCTAATGTTATATAAGAAAATATGTATTAAACACTAGGAGTACCCGGCGTTGCCTAAGCTTATAAAGGTACCCATGGGTTTCTGCAAAATGTTTCAGCCAATTTGGTTCAGAAGTTTGGCCAGCTGTAGCCACTAAATAGCTTAAATATATAGTCCAGCTGGAGTACCCAGGGATGCCCAGGTTAAAAAATGAATATTTTTAAATATTAAGGTTTAAAGAAACTATTCTCTGGAAGAGGGAGTTTAGACTTCTCACCTTTAACTCCACGCTGGGATCAATTCAAGCTTGATACACTTCAACATAAAACAATACTCAAGGTATACAGTACAGTACAGTACAGAACAGTACTGTATAGTACAGCATGCAGTATAATTTAGTTTATATTTATCCATATCTGTATCTATATCTATCTATCTATCTATCCAATCTATCCATCTATACATCTATCTAGATTACTGAGAAGGGAACGGAAGCAGCAGCAAGTACATCAGCATTCCAGTTCCGGATGATTCCCAGTATTTCCTTCAAGTAATTTTATAAACTTTTTCTCTTTAAATCTATTTTAGTTTCCAAACTATTCTCCCCCCATCTATAAAGATTTTGACGACAGCAACTCTAATTTTGCTATCCTTGTATATTTGCAACTATAGATATAGATCACATAGATTCAGACTGCTTATAAAAAGTCTCATCAATTTGTTAAGACAGGGTTCACTTTGAAGTGTTGCAACGCCTTACTCTGTTGTAGGCCTAGACTTATATATTTCAGAACTATAAAACACTTGTTTTTAGCTTTAGTGTTGAAAAAGTAATTGTTAAAGCTTGAAATCACTGAGCTTTGATATTTCAATTCTGTTAAATCAAATAGCCTAAATTTTATCATACATTTGCAAAGAAATTTGGGTTAGATAATTAGAGTTTGTGGCAAGTTTTCACTTCCTGTACATCAGTGCTTCGACGCTGTAACTGTTATTACTGTAGAGAATTGAATTGGACCATTAATTGTCCCGATTTATTTTTTTGTTGTTGCAAATTTAGGAGTTTGGATAAATTTCATTTATTCTCTATATTTTAACAGTTTGATCCAATTAAACTCAAAGATATCTGGTTGCAAAACTTAAGGGATTAGAAAAGTTTGATGGGAGTTATGGTATCTTAATATTCCTATGTTAAAAAATATTTAAGAGTTTCGTAAATTTCAACTGCTGGTTTTTTATTTTTATTTTTTTCCTGGTCAATAGGTTTGGTTTTACTTTTACCAAAGTAAATATTGAATATTGCAAAAGAAAAACATATTGAATATCAAATGTTGAAATACAGATTTTATTTTAGAGTCAAAACTTTATTTCTACAAAATTTTATTTATTCCTATTTTCCTTTAGACTAGATCGTCCATTTTTTCTTTTCATCTATGACGCACTGAACAAGGTAATATTTTTTAGAAAAAAAACATTTTAAATTATTTGGCAATATTTGGTATTCCAGGGAACCCGTAGTTTTAATTTTTATTTTTTATTTTCCGAAAAAGTAGTTGTACACAATTTTACAATTTTTTGAGATGAAAGCCTCACAGAGCGGGCGGTTATTTTACATAACTGTCCCAAGGGACGTTAAGTAACTTAACCTCCCTCTGTTGGGGAATCATAGGTCGGTAATGTTGTCAAAGTGCGGTGAAATATATTATTTTGTCATAAATATGGAACAAATATGTTATTTGTAAATTTGACAGTGCCGCAACGCTGATTAAACAGTTAACAGTCTGCAATTGGACCAATTAAATGTAATTTGTTCTCTTATTCTCTATTCTTCCTTTTTTGGGTTTTAGATAAAAAAATGATTAAGACACAACTCTATAAGTTTAAAGATATTTAAATTACAGACCAAAACGTGATTAAATTCAAATTAACGTTAAAGTTAATCAGCTGTTTTTTTGATATTTGCTAAGACACGTTTGTTTTCATTAAAAGTGTGGAATATAAAATCGACTGTTTGATTAAAACTAAAAACATAAAAGCATGATATCAAAAAGACATAAACTTGCTTAAATGTCGTCTTTCTATTCCATAGTTTTATGGGACCCACTGCATGTCCTTCAAATTCAAACTAAAACATTAAAAACATTAAATGATGTAATTCAAAGAAATTTTGAAGTGTTTTCATAATCTTAATAAGCTATTTTTAAAGCTACTAGCAATACAATATCAACATAAGATTGGTTAAATGTCGTCTACCGATTCCATAGTTTGATGAGACCCCCTGTATATTTAGGTTGTGATATTCTGGGCTAGAGTAGTGGAACCTACTCCTCTGGAGTATGATGAACCATAAACTGTAAATTTGGTTAAAGGAATTGAGTCTTTGCCACAAACTCAAATTTTCAAATGCCTATTTCTTTGAAACCTAATGATCTAAACCTTTCATATTTCTAACTTCTGTTCTAACAGAATTTATAGTTTGAAATATGTAAGGTCTATGATATTGGGTTGCAAAGATATTGGAATTATAAAATCAGAAAACTGAATTCCTTTATATCGCTCGGATACTATGGCAAAATTTGTATAATTTTTTAACCTTTTTATTCTATATTATAGCTAACAATGCTAATGAAATTGCAAAAAATATCTATGGGAGACCTAGATGTCGCTCTATCTTCTTAATGTTGTTGAAGAGAAAGGAAAGCATATATTGTTGTTCAGTGCTGCCATCTCTGAGGCTTTCTTCGCATAATTTTCATATTTTTCTTTAAATATTTTTAGTTTTCATAGTTCTGAAAATTTGAAAATATTTTGATTTTTAGAAATTTTTTTTAAGTTTGAATGTTTTTTTCTCATGTTTACTTTCTAATTCTATCCATTATCTATTTATTATCTGTCATCTATTCTGTTTGTCTATGTATCTATACGTATACATTGTCTTTTTGTGTATCTTTTTTATCAGTTTTAGTCTAATTGCCTTTTTTTAATGATTGTCTGAGTATTGTGTCTACCTTGTCTACCTTGGTCCTTGACTATTGTCTAATCTATGTCTGTAACTCACCATCTGCCTTTTGTTTCTGAGCCAGGCATAGTTTATTTTACCCGTTGTACTGTCCTAAACATATTTATGTACTGCAGATTATTTCTAAACAAATCTGCTCAAAGGAGTTGAGTCTTTGCCACAAACTCGAATATTCCATTCCCTTTATCTTTGCAACCTGGCGGTGTAAACCTTAGATATTTCAAACTTAGATTATTTGATCTAACAGAATTCATAGTTTGAAATATCTAAGGTCTACGATATTGGTTTGCAAAGATAGAGGTATTAAAATAATAGAGTTTGTAGGGAAAACTCAATTCCTTTATTGTTTTTAATTTTCTTTCAATTCTGTATTATGCAATTAAGATTAAGAAATTATCGTGGAAGAAATATCGTCTGGCATTAAATACACTTACCACAACTGCACTTCCTCGCAACCAACCCACTGGTCTTCCACCACCTCCATACTATACAACCACACAAACTAATCTCACCGCCTTCTTTAAATCCAAAGTCTATAGAACATCCTCAAAAAGGTTTTCGGATGTATACCGCAGTGTTCATCAGTACTCTGACCGAAGAAATTGTAGATTTTTAGTGGAGAGTGAGACGTCTAAAGCTGTATTTCGAAATATAAGTGGTATCGAAGTGTACAGCTGTATATAGAAGTAAACAGGTACTTCAGGAACTATACAGCTGTATCTTGTATTTAGAAGTAAACAGCTACTTCAGGAAGTATACAGCTGTATCTTGTATTTAGAAGTCTACTCGTACATCTGTATCCAAAAATGTACAGCTGTATCTAGAAGTAGACATAAGTACATTTGAATCTAGAGCTATATCTAGAAGTATAAAAATGTATCTTAAAGTGCACCACTGTATCTAGAAGTGCACCACTGTATCTAGATGTATAAAGTAATATTTAGAAGTGTACAGTGATATCTAGAAGTGTGCAGTTGTATCTACACGTGTAGAGCTTTATCAAGAAGTCTACAGTTGCATTTAGTGCAAGATTTAAAGGTGTACAGATGTATATCGAAGTGTACAGCTGTATATAGAAGCGTACAACTTTATCTAGAAGGAGGAAAACTGTAGCTAGACTATTACAGCTGTATCTGGAGATGTATATAGAAATGTACAGCTGTATCTGGAGATGTATATAGAAATGTACAGCTGTATCTACAAGTGTACAGCTGTATCTGGTGTTGTACCTGTATAAGTGTAAAGCTGTATCTTGAAGTATATTGTTGTAACTAGAAGTGTAGAGTTGTATCTAAAAGTTGTAGAATAAATTTAACGAAGAACAAATAAATTAACTTAATTTTAAGAAAGGTAGACCAACCTCAATCAAGCTAGGCTAGATTCGAATTTAATTTTGGGATTCTTTTTAAAACTTTGATGAAAATTAGATTAGCTGCCGGAATAGTTTAGGATTAAAGAGAGGGTTAAGTTTGTGAGTAGATTAAAGTTAAGACTAGATTTAGAACAAACTTCTGGTCAAAGATCAAAGATATTACAAATATTGAGTTTGTGGCAAAGACTTAATTTCTTTCATTGAATTTTTCTGTCTCACGGATTGAATTAAGTTTAGATATAGAACTAGCTCACGAATTAACTTTGGGATTAATTTTAAGAATAAGTCCGAATTTTGTTTTGGGTTATGTCGGAAAAGTTTTTCAACAGATTTATTTTATAATTGTTAAATTTCTATTTATGATTAGCTTTCTGTTCCTTATTCTTCTCCATATTGTTTAAACCACAGTTTGAGTCCCAGCTTTATCACAAAATATCACAATAGTTTCACATTGTTCATTTTAATTGTCTCTTCTCTAGATTTCAGGTTGGAATTAGTTTTAACAGCAATTTTATAATTTTACAAAGGAACTAATTACTTGCCTAAAATTATGATTTTGATATTCGATGTTTGGTATCTTAAAATATTTCAGATTTAATAGGAAAGAGAAAACTAGAGTTTGAGGCGATTGTTCAGTTCCTCTCATTAACCCTTCCCCTCCTCAGTTAAAAGAGATTAAGGTAGGAAATTAAAATTGGATAACAAACTACTTATAGATGAAATCTTGGATTAAGAAATCAATAATTAAAAATCTTAAATAAGAAAATCATAAAATAAAGATCTTGAATAAGGAAATCATAAAATAAAAATCTGGAATAAGGAAATCATAAAATAAAAATCTTGAATAAGGAAATTATAAAAAAAATCTTGAATATGGAAATCATAAAATAAAAATCTTAAATAAGGAAATCATAAAATAAAAATCTTGAATAAGGAAATCATAAAATAAAAATCTTGAATAAGGAAATCATAAAATAAAAATCTTGAATAAGGACATCATAAAATAAAAATCTAAAATAATGAAATCATAAAATAAAAATTTTGAATAATGAAATCAAAAAATTAAAAATCTTGAATAAGGAAATCAAAAAATAACAATCTTGAATAAGGAATTATCATTAAATATAAAAAACAGAATTCATAAAAATAGCATTGAAAGAACTTATGAAAATAGCACTTAAACTGAAGTCATGAAGACAGCATTGAAAAAGAATTCATGAAAATAAAATTGAAATAGAACTCATGAAAATAGAATTGAAATAGAACTCATGAGAATAGAATTGAAATAGAACTCATGAAAATAGAATTGAAATAGAACTCATGAAAATAGAATTGAAATAGAACTCATAAAAATAGAATTGAAACAGAAAATTGATCCAAAAGTAGCATTAAATTAGAATTTATGAAAATAGTATTAAAACAGAATTCATAAAAATAGCATTGAAAGAACGAAAATAGCATTTAAACTGAAGTCATGAAGACAGCATTGAAAAGAATTCATGAAAATAGAATTGAAATAGAACTCATGAAAATAGAATTGAAATAGAACTCATGAAAATAGAATTGAAATAGAACTCATGAAAATAGAATTGAAATAGAACTCATGAAAATAGAATGGAAAAAGAACAGATTTTTTAAGTTCTAATAAAACTAGCTTATCAAGCTCTACTATGATTTATGGTGCAACAGAAACGAAAATAATGAAAAATGATCAAATATCCATAATACAGGCTGCAAAGAATAAAGGATTAAAAAGTTAAAGTTTGAGGTGAGTGTTTAACTTAATGGAGTTAAATATGAAAAATCAGAGATATTTAAGCATTGCTTAGTTCTCCAAGTTATTGAAATATTGGATAAATCAGTTTTTGTCATGAGAAGCTGAGAACATTAACTAAACCCCAATCTAGAATCATCCTACCCAGGAATGCTATTAGATATTGTTAATAAAACCATAACCTCAACCCTCTTCCTCTAAAACTAGCTCCGGGTTCAATAATCCTGGAGCCCAGGTTTGGTTTCTCCGGGTCTAATATTCAATTGGTGTTGGTTGAGGTGTATACAGAATACTGCAGACACTACGGAGGCTCTCCCTCTATCTCTCTTCGTATCTTTAGGCACTTACAGGCACTACTGCTTGGAATATATTTAAATTGCATCCGTACAGCTTGCACTTTTACAGAATTTTATTTAAAATATGCAGAAAAGAAAAAGTTTTATTGAACTAAATAAATCTACATGTTATACAAATCTTTCCAAAACATGAATTTCACAGTGGTTTGAAAATATATTTAAAATGAAAATTAGATTTTTTCGTTGACATTTGTTTTCATTAGTTAGAATTTTGTTAAACAGACTGGGAGATTTATCTGCTGTTTTGTGAAACAGACTGGGAGATTTATCTGCTGTTTTGTGAAACAGACTGGAAGATTTATCTGCTGTTTTGTGAAACAGACTGGAAGATTTATCTGCTGTTTTGTGAAACAGACTGGGAGATTTATCTGCTGTTTTGTTAAACAGATTGGGAGATTTATCTGCTGTTTTGTGAAACAGACTGGGAGATTTATCTGCTGTTTTTTTAAACAGATTGGGAGATTTATCTACTGTTTTGTGAAACAGACTGGGAGATTTATCTGCAGTTTTGTGAAACAGACTGGAAGATTTATCTGCTGTTTTGTAAAACAGACTGAGAGATTTATCTGCTGTTTTGTTAAACAGACTGGAAGGTTTATCTGCCGTTTTGTTAAACAGATTGGGAGATTTATCTACTGTTTTGTGAAACAGACTGGGAGATTTATCTGCTGTTTTGTGAAACAGACTGGAAGATTTATCTGCTGTTTTGTGAAATGATTAAATTTCTTTAAACAATATCCAGAGAGAAAAATCTTTTTATTTCTGTTTAGCTTCATTCTTTGTTTTACACAAAATTTTGAAATTTTTCCTTTTATATATCTTTTTTGGGAACTTCATCTTCTTCTTTATCACTATGTGACACGTGACATGTGCAATACATTTATTTTATTAAACTAGGATTTAATGGCGTTTCGCGCTCATCTTCTAATTCAATTGTAAACATTTTCTTGAAAATAATGAAAACACAACCATATTAGAACTAATTATATATCATTGTATGTTGTAACAATTCGCATTGTATTTTTGTACTAGAAATAGGGGTTCCTGATATTAGGTGGCAATATTCATTAACATTCCCTGTTACAAACATAAAGATGCACTTTTGCAGACCTACTAATGATGAAGGCGCACATTTTGGACAGACCACTATGTGTGACATACATTGGAAACGCTTTATTTTCATTTATTTAACATATTCATTATTCTGACATTATCCATGTTTTTACTTCTTATTTTGTATAGATAATTTGATACAAAGAGATGGATTGGCTCTCAGGGAATATAATTAATTGATATGATCAAATGTATCTGTGATTGAAAAGAGATGGATTGGCTATCAGGGAATATAATTAATTGATATAATCAAATTTATCTGTGATTGAAAAGTTAATTCTTTTGTAAGTAAACGTAAAATAAATATAAGAATTGATAATAAGTTTATTAATGTTTTTCAAAATGTTGCATTGTTATACGCTGTATCTATTCTCTTTTTCTTTGTAACCCAATGGTTTAAACCTCGTATATTTTAAACCTTGACTGTTAGGTCTAACTGCAAGATCTATGACATCAGGTCACAAGGATTAGAAAGTTAGAGATTATTTGATCATGTTCAGTTTCTCAGATCAGAAAGTTACTTTATTGGCACATCAGTCCTTTTTATTCGATATCATCAAGTTGGATAATATCTTTCAATAACTAGGCTTCCATGGTGATACACATCCAACTTTATTGCAATATTTTAATTAGATTTAAAATGTTACATTACACGCACCGCGTCAATCTTGTTGCACCGGCTAGTCCTGTCCAAGAGCTAGGTACAGTACAGTACAGTACAGTACGGAAAGGTTGACCCGGCTCGGAAATTCAAATGTACTACGGGCTACGGCTGCCCGTGATAACCTTCCAGAATTTATTTTTAGTACATTATTTAAAATGACACTGTAAAGCGTACATTTTTTTACTTTATTGGTTCTAAATCTTTTAGGACGGATGATCTTCCATCACTCCCGCTGGCGCTGTGTGAGTTCAGATAACAAAGATTTGGGATCTATTAGGATCAGCCGTTTTGACGGTTAATTGGATTCAAATAATTTACACAAATACATACAAGTATAAATCTAAATATATGTCTATTTTATTCAATTTTGAGAGACTTATTATCCCGCATTTTTACTCACAACTTGACAATCTTGGGTGTAAACAGTTTTTTATTTGTTCCGAGGCAAATAAGTAACATTTTATTGCAAAGCAAGTTTCCCTTTTTATTTCGCAGATTTCAATAATAAAACAACCGAACAATTCTAAAACTTGAATTAAATAAATCTATTTATCCAAGTGTCTTGTCTGACCATTTGGGAAATTATGTTTTTTGGTCTGATTTTTACTTTTTTGTTTGTTTTCGGTTTAAATTCAAGATTTTTTATCCCTTAGCGCTTTCGTGATTAAAAATCTTAACAAACAAACAAAAAAGTAAAAATCCCGAATCAAAAAACATATTATCCCGCATGATAACACAAGACAGTTGCACAAATAGATATATATATATATATGCTGTTTGGCTGTCCTTTTCTTTTAGTCAAAAATGTCTTCAGAAATACAAAAATACTAAATCAAAGAAATACATTAAAAAACTTTCGCTATTTCATCCGTGCCCAAAGAATGGCCAAAGGAAATTTTAATATATTGAAATAGAATAAAGTTGTTTTGTTTTTTGTACATTTAAGTGTGTTGTGTTGGCTTTAATATTTAATATTTGAAAAGTGTATAATACAAGTCGCCTTGACGGTCATTGGACCATAATCCTTCAGTGGGGTCATGTAAGTTGCCGTAACAATGGAACTGAGCCTTTGCCACAAACTCTGATTTTCTAATCCCTAAATCTTTGCAAAGGCCTTAGATAGTTGAAATATCAAAGAATCATCAGGTTGCAAAGATATAAGGATCTGAAAATTTGAGCCCAAATTCTTTGTGCCGAATTGGTACAGCCGTTTTGACGTTTACTGGATGCAAGCAGACAAATAGACATAGAAGCAAAGTTTGCTTTTAATACACTTTACACAACTTTATCTCTGCCTTAAAATAAAATTAGTAATTAGAAAACCTTTTTTGTCTTTTACCTTGATGTTACTAAAAAGCTTTAGAATGTTTTCAACTTTACCAGTTAAAAAGTTAAAAGTCTTCCACCAAATTTTATAACTAAAATGTAGAATAAAAATGACCACTAATCTTATAATGTAAAGGACTGTAAACGAAAAGTAAAGTAACCCTTCATGCAAAGATGACAATAAGATCAAAGTTGAACAATTTTAACCCTAAAAAAACAACAATATCTTCCACATTATTGATGAGATAAAGGTTACCTATTAAAACATCTTTTTGCAACATTGTATATTCGAAATTGTCTACTTAAATTGAACTAAACTATGGAAAAATGTATTCATATCTTTGTGTGTGAATAAGTCTTTATAATATGATATAATTAATATAATTAATACATTCTGAAGTGCCCGACGTTGCCCGTGGAATTTCAGAGACACTAAAAAAAATTTCGAGTTTGGAAAAAAATCGCTTTTTGATAAAAAAAAACATTTAGAATTGTTGAAGAAAAGAAGTTTCGAATTTTTGAAGAAAAAAATCGAATTTATTTAACGCAATTTTTTAACCACCGGGGTTTCCTAAAAAAAACTTTACGCCCATTCGATCCAGTCATTTGGCCGGCTTTAGGGAACATATAAGCAAAGTCTTGTTTTATTATATAGTTTACATTTTGTTACCTTTGTTTTATTTTACGCCCATTGAACGCTTAAATGCTGACATAGCATTTCAAGGTTGATTTCAAGTATTTGGTGTATTTTCTTTAAAACAAATTATGCATGATTTTAGAAACATTGTCTGCTCAAAATATTTGATGCTATATCTATGTATATCTAAAATATTGTGTTTACAAAAGATCCAAACCACGATAAAGTGAACTGGAGAACTTCACAATTTAAAAAAAAAAACAGTTCATTCCGGGTTGGACCCTCTTCGACTTGAGATTTGTTTCTGTCATATTAAAGACAAACGGTAAATCTACTCTCTACTCTCTACTCTCTACTCTCTACTCCCTACTCTCTACTTTCTACTCTCTACTCACCTCCTACGACTGATTTCCTCTTGGATTTCGTTTGCTTTGTTAAACAGCTGTTGATCCAAATTCCTAAAAAATTACGTATATCATCTATTTAGACTATTAAAAAGCGTTTGACTAACTAGAAAATTTTAAGAATAAAGCTATTTTATAAATATTTCTACTTGATTAAATTTAGAGTTTGTATCCCCTATGGATTGCGATGTTTGTTATATAAGCGATTATTAAGTTTTTTTGTAAATATCTACAATTCAACTATATAGATAGGTATATAACCATAGATTGAGAACAATACAGATAAAACACTAGATGTCATATTTTGTTCAAAATAACCCTGAGGCAGAAGCCCAAAGGAATTACGCGCATGTTCTCTCTCTGTCTTGTAATTCAACGTAATTTCATTACCATCGAACACAGTTTTCTTTAAATCCAATTTGAAATGGGACACCCTGTACAATAAGGCTTTTATTGCAAGGCTAGTTGAAATCACATACTTAGCTTGTATCCTGATCAGAGTTTCTAGACTATCATTGATCAGCTTAATATTTCCTTCAATGCCCTTGGTTTCATGACGCAGGCTTTCATACCTAGAGATAGATAATCATTAATCATGTACAATAGCTGTATGTACAATTATTTACCTACAGACAGATGTACTTATGTACAAACGCTTTATGTACACTTGTATTCACAGTGATAGATATTCCTTTGTCATGAAAATATCTGTATATACACTTTTATACCGAAAGGTAGATAGTCATTATGTGTGTATGAAACCTGTTTGTACAGTGGAATTGTACAATGTAGATAGAAAAAGATTACGCCATATGTACAATGGAACAATGTACAAGAAAACGAGCTAAGCCTCCTGTAATTGCTAGGCAAATATTGACGATATCAAATTACAGCTGCGCAACTTTCTTACATATATAGACCGATAGAAGAAATACAGACACACATATCACTCTCCGGTAAAATCCACTATTTTTCTGTCCGTGTACTGCACTCTTCACTAAACGCTACTATATCATCGATTAGTGAATTGTGATTTACTGCAAAACGCACCGACATCTTATATTATAATCTATATATTTATTTACTTTATTTACTTTATTTAGTTCTAGCAGATTCTATTCTGAAACTATACCTATCCAGTACGTTATTGTACAGTGTATATAAACTTTATTTTTACTTACTTAGTTCTAGCGGACTCTGAAATTATACCTATCCAGTATATTATTGTACAGTGTACAGTGTATAGTGTAAATAAACTATATTTTTACTTACTTAGTTCTAGCGGATTCTGAAAATACCTATCCAGTACATTATTGTACAGTGTACAATGTACATTGTACAGTGTAAATAAACTACATTTTTACTTACTTAGTTCTAGCGGATTCTGAAACTATGCCTATCCAGTACATTATTGTACAGTGTACAGTGTACAGTGTAAATAAACTATATTTTTACTTAGTTCTAGTGGATTCTGAATATACCTATCCAGTACATTAGTGTACAGTGTACAGTGTATAGTGTACAGTGTACAGTGTAAATAAACTATATTTTTACTTACTTAGTTCTAGCGGATTCTGAATACACCTATCCAGTACGTTATTGTACAGTGTACAGTGTACCGTTTACAGTGTACAATGTAAATAAACTATATTTTCACTTACTTAGTTCTAGCGGATTCTGAATATAACTATCCAGTACATTATTGTACAGTGTACAGTGTACAGTGTAAATAAACTATATTTTTACTTACTTAGCTCTAGCAAATTCTGAAACTATCCTATCCAGTACATTATTGTACAGTGTACAGTGTACAGTTTACAGTGTACAATGTAAATAAACTATATTTTCACTTACATTAGTTCTAGCGGACTCTGAAATTATACCTATCCAGTATATTATTGTACAGTGTACAATTTACAGTGTACAGTATAAATAAACTACATTATTTCTTACTTAGTTCTAGCGGACTCTGAAACTATACCTATCCAGTACATTATTGTACAGTGTACAGTGTAAATAAACTATCTTTTAATTTACTTAGTTCTAGCGGACTCTGAAATTATACCTATCCAGTACATTATTGTACAGTGTACAGTGTACAGTGTAAATAAACTATATTTTTACTTAGTTCTAGTGGATTCTGAATATACCTATCCAGTACAGTGTAAATAAACTATATTTTTACTTACTTAGTTCTAGCGGATTCTGAATACACCTATCCAGTACGTTATTGTACAGTGTACAGTGTAAATAAACTATATTTTTACTTACTTAGCTCTAGCAGATTCTGAAACTACCCTATCCAGTACATTATTGTACAGTGTACAGTGTACAGTTTAAATAAACTATATCTTTACTTACATAGCTCTAGCAGATTCTGAATATAGCTATCCAGTACATTTTTGTACAGTGTACAGTGTACAGTGTAAATAAACTATATTTTTTCTTACTTATTTCTAGCAGATTCTGAATATACCCTATCCAGTACATTATTGTAGAGTGTACAGTGTACAGTGTAAATAAACTATATTTTTACTTACTTAGCTCTAAATAAATTATATTTTTACTTACTTAGCTCTAGCAGATTCTGAAACTACCCTATCCAGTACATAATTGTATAGTGTACAGTGTACAGTGTAAATAAACTGTATTTTTACTTACTTAGCTCTAGCAGATTCTGAAACTACCCTATCCAGTACATTATTGTACAATGTACAGTGTACAGTGTAAATAAACTGTATTTTTACTTATTTAGCTCTAGCAGATTCTGAAACTACCCTATCCAGTACATTATTATACAGTGTACAGTGTAAATAAACTATATTTTGTCTTACTTAGCTCTTGCAGATTCTGAAACTACCCTATCCAGAACAACCTCGCAGGTTCGCAAGGGTAAACCCATCTCCTAGAAGCAAATTAAAAAAATAAAATGTAATAAATTGTTATTTTGTGATAATATCAGAAAAAAACTTATAAATGAAATTTGTTTTAACATTTTATCTAAATATTAGGATTTAACTGTTATTTATTTGGTTCAATGCAAATTCATGGAAAATTTGCGCCTCCCCCCCTCATATCCCAAAAAAACAGTTTCCTTTCGACTGCAACTGAAATGTTTGATTATTTTAAATAAGTTGTTAATTTCAATCAAAAATATAAAAAGATTATTTAATGGAATCGCAAAATAACAAAACAACAAAATCACTTCCCCTTTTATTTGTTGGGGTTATACAGTAATAACCAGAAAACTGTAGAATAGAAAGACGACATTAGCGGTGTTGTTACGAAGCAAATAGCTTAACCAGTAAGTTATTAAATCACTTATAAAGTGAAATGTGCCTGTTTACACTGCACAAATACTGTGTCTCATTTGCATTGAACTATATAAAGTCAAAACTTGGTCTAAAAGTCAACTTACCATTCCAGAGTTTTCTGGTTATTACTGTTGTGGAATTTTAACAGTCATTTTAAGTAAACCATTATTTTAAAATTGCGGGCAATGATTGAAAAAAATATATTTTTGGTTAAAAAAAAAATACCGTTACCTTTCAATTTTTGACACTATTTTATGAAAAGTTCACTTAAAATGACTTTAAAATTTTTAGAAAATAATACAAATAAAAATTTAAAAAATCACACCCCTACTTGTATTTTATCAGGTTTCTTGTTACCAGTCTAAAAATAGTTAAAGAAAGGTTTAAAAGTCAACAGGGTTTATCTGAGTAAACAGAAAAAATGTTCCTGAAATTTTAAAAATTCAATAAACTGCCAAAAATACACGTTTAAAAAAATTTAAGTATAAATAAATAAAATGTTTAAAGTCAAACTATACACGCACTGTAAGAAAAGTACTATCGTTAAGATCGAAATTTCAAAATTTCGATGTAGAACTTTTAAATTAAAAAAAAATCTTTAAAAATGGGTTGTATACTGTCAAGTACAGCAACAATTTAAAAAAGTTTCCATTTTTTCATTACTAATCCAAATGCTATTATTGTTATTTTTGTATCATTAAAACTGATATGAATTGGTAAATTAGCTATCATTCGTTCATATTTCCTAAAATATCACTATGATATATAGAATCTAATAAAACTCTAAGAACTTGCTGACATAATGCTTGCATCTAGAGAACGAGGAAAGGCATGTTACACGGCATTCAAAAAATACATTTGAAAACACATTAGCAACGCCAGAACGAAAAATGTGTGTGGTCGGACGAAATAATGGTATGCTGTGCCTTCCCTCCCTCATCAAGAACATAATGTTAGAGATAGCAATATTTGTTCACTATTTCTAGTTTTATACAGTTGGGAGATTTTTTACCTCATTTATTCGCTACAAAATTTGTTTACACCGTAATTGGGACAAATAGGATTAAATTTAAAATGATTTCAACTTTTAAAATCATTTAAAATTAATAAAACTTTATGATAAAAAACTTCAATTCAAGTTGAATTGAAAATATAGCAGCGGTAGTAAAAATTCGGAAAAAAATATGATTTCTTTGAATTAGAAATTTTGGCACTTTCGAATCTAAATTTTTTTAGATTTGTACATTTTATACAAACTTGAAATTACATATATAGGGAAAATTCTATCTAGGGGAAACACGTGTTTTTACTCTTTTACAAATAATAGAAAATACTTACATTTGTCACTTCTTTGCACAAAGGCGGAACAAAGGTATGTTTATTCACTAAAAATAAAAGTTTTTAAATCTAAAAAAAAGTAAATATATCATAGAAATTTTACAAAAAGTAAGTGAAAAATGGTGAAAAAGTTATGGTTTATGGTTAGGAAAAAATTACATCAGGTACAACTGTACACCAAAAAATATCAAAATCCCCCCCCCTCCTTGACAAATATACCAGTTGCGCCTCTAAAACTAAAACAGAGCCAGTAGTATAATGATTATATTATTTCGTCTTAAATTTCTGAACCAATAAGTTTCTCCTGAAAGACGACATTTACAATGGTGGCAGATTAAACCAAATTTCCTGGTTAACAGAACAATTTTTTTGTCGAAAATTATAAATATTCAAAAAGGACAATGTCGTTGTATCTTCAAGCAACCCTCCATTTAAAAAGAGGGGTACATTTACAACAATACCCTTCAAACCTTAAACATCCATTTTTGAAGAGAAAATTATGGATATCTCATTCATTCTTGGTGAAAACGTAAAAACGTGTTATAAATAACGTAAAAACGTGTTATTAATAACGTAAAAACGTTTTATAAATAACGTAAAACTTTTATAAAAAACGTAAAAACGTTTTATAAATAACGTAAAAACGTTTTATAAATAACGTAAAAATGTTTTATAAATAATGTAAAAACTTTTATAAATAACTTTAAAACGTGTTATAAATAACGTAAAAACGTTTTATAAATAACGTAAAAACGTTTTATAAATAACGTAAAAACGTTTTATAAATAAAGTAAAAACGTTTTATAAATAACGTAAAAACGTGTTATAAATAACGTAAAAACTTTTTATAAATAACGTAAAAACGTTTTAGAAATAACGTAAAAACGTTTTATAAATAACATAAAAACGTGTTATAAATAACGTAAAAACGTGTTATAAATAACGTAAAAACGTTTTATAAATAACGTAAAAACTTTTTATAAATAACGAAAAACGTTTTATCAATATCATAAACACGTGTTATAAATAACGTAAAAACGTGTTATAAATAACGTAAAAACGTTCTATAAAAATCAAAATAACTTAAAAATTGTTTCACCTGGAACATACTGGGGTAGGGATAAACTCTGAATAAACATCGAGATATCCTAAAATATTGGACAAAGTTGAAATATGTTGAAAAATTAAAAATTTCATTGCTTTTTCTAAATTGTGCCAAATTTGTGCTCTGAAATAACATTTAAGGCTTAAAAGTCGTTTTTGTATAAAGTTTTTATATTTCGTTTTCGCTAACGTTTTTTTAGAGAAAAAAAATCTTCTTTTTTAATGTAATTAAAAGCAAAATTATACGGCACACAGGTTTGAAATATTTATTATTTTTGTGAAGCCTCCAAATATTTAAATATTTAAAAATTTTTTTTTTATATTTATAATTGAAAAACAATATTTTTCCTTTGTACCAAATATTAGTGTTATAAAGCACATTTAGTGGTATATACAGGGTGTCCTAAGAAACATGTCAGTTGGTGTATAGTTTTGAATGTCTTCTTTCGTATACTGTATTATTAGATATTAAAGACTTTTTGCAGTTTAATTTTTTTTAAATCTTTTAGTCAAATATATTTTACTTTGAAATAATTTTTTTTATAATGTGACTGCGCTATGTGATATTTTTAATATTCTCTTTGGTATCAAATAAATTAACAAAATATGGAAGGAAGACATTTTATACTATTCACCAACTGTCATGTTTCGTAAGACACCCTGTTATAGTTTATATAGTAGATGATGAATGATAATTAGGTTAATTTATTAATTACATTTATTCATATGCTGAATATATATATACACATATTGAATTGTATAATGCTAAATCAATTATATAAATTATACACATACATTTGCAAGAAACCCCAGAGAACTTGAATTAAATATCTGGTTTGCAATGAGTCTAGTAAGAATGTCTTTCTTTGAGTATAGTATAGAGGACGTGAGTCAGACTCTAATAAAAACGCATAAATAACTTCCAGTATATATATTTCTTATAACTTATTACTAGAGGGTTCAGAACTAGAGTCAATATCGATATCACACGTGTAGATGTATTTATCTGTACTATGCCCCGTATCCGTTCTATCTCATTCTGTTGAATCTTGTGGAACTTGTTTAACGCGGCCAGGCATCGTCTTCCACAATAGGCTCTTTGTTTTTGCTTTGTTTGTTTTAAAGGAACTAATGGTGTGTATTTATTTATCTACAAAAACGTATTAGGATGTTTTATATTTAAAAATAAATATTTAAACCAATTATTTAAAACCCGATTTGGGCATAGGATTCGGGATTTTAAGAAATACATGAAGTGAGTCAGCTGTTGAGTTCAAACTGTACGCTAGCTTACACTTCAATTTTGAAGGAACACATGCAGTGCGTCAGCTGTTGAGTTCAAACTGTACGCTAGCTTACACTTCAATTTTTAAGGAACACATGCAGTGCGTCAGCTGTTGAGATCAAACTTTTAAAGTATCGATCGGTGTCCACTGTCCATGTTTACTAAAACTCCCTGTATTAAGTGATTTTAGTTAATTATAGAAAATGAATATTATCCTGCAGCCGACAGTATTAATAAACATATTCAATAAACATTTAAACACATTTGCCAATATTTCGCATTTTTGGTTAATTACTTTGCCACATGTTTATGCCCCGGGTAAATAGTGTACTGTAGTTCATGGAAACATTAAGTGCTTGCCCCTATCCTGTCCTGTATTAACTCATTAACATACATAAAGTAGTGTAGTACATGTAAAGTTTATGTATCTGTCCATCAATATACTTAAGGCTATAGTGTAGTGCATTGAATGTACAGTTTATATAAATATATATATATATATATATTCCTGTCCTGATTCAACTCACTTTTGTACACTCTACATAGCATAAATGTATGTACATGTAAAGTTATGTACCTGTCCAGAATTAACCTTCCGAACCATTTCTGAGGTTTTATTCCACCTGAGATTCATTGCAGCGGTCTAATTAAAAAATATATAACAATATACAGGGTTGCCCACAAGGATGAAACTCTGCGTACATATTGAAACCAGTTCTCTCTGGGCGAATTTGTAAACAAGAATAGATGCCTCAGTGTTCGTTTAGTATCCGAGGAGGTTAAAAGCATTAAATTTGATAATTTTGATAATTCACATAATAGTTTTCTATGACCAGAATATTTCATTGATTATTTATGTGAAAGATGGATCCCATGTCAGGCTTCGACATCATTCTTGTGTTTATATTACCGTCCAATGACAGTACACTGCAGTACAAAAGATGCGTACACCTATAAAATAACTTTCCTTGCATTAAATCCTTGCGTAGTACATTTGAATTTCCAAGCCGGGTCGACCTTTCCGTTCCTATAGATTGTACTGTATCGCTCGGACATCGGGTAAATGAAGCAGACACTCAATAGGACTAGTCGGTGCAACAAGGTTAACGCGGTCAGACTTTAGGTTAGATTTACTTTTTCTGAAGGGTCAGGGGTGCGAGTACCGTCTGTTTCCTTAAATTCAGAATTCCCTGCAACTGTAAACTTTCTTCTTTCTTTGCTAAATCATTTAATAATTCAATAAAAGACTTTGCTCATTGTTCGGACAAAAGACATAATGTATCCTTGCGATCGTCTTTACAGTCTCATCCTGTGTGGGTAAAAAGTGGAAGATATTCTTTAATCAATTGAAGGTTTTTATCATCAATTTTTCAAGATACAGTGTATCCCAGATATATGACTACATAGACCGTCATAAGTTTTTTGATAATTCTATAGAAACTTCTTTTTATTTTTAATTCGAGGTAAATCTAATAGCCCTGAAATATGTATGCAATTGATTTATTAATATTAAACTAATTTTTCCGTGGCATTTAATCTTAAATATGTAATACGACATTATAAACAACTCTTGCTATGTATTCATATATCTGGGATTCACTGTATATTTTACAATAAACTAATGTCAAATCATGTATCTAGAAAAATAATGAATTGGTGAAAAAAAAGGATGGATGTATGGATGGATGACTGGATGTAATCATGCAATGATGAGATAATGAAAGGATGAGTTTATAATTTAAAGAATGAAAAGCTAGGTGAAAGGAAGGAAGGATGAATGATTGAATGAATGAATGAAAACCTTCTGCGCAATAGTAGATGATCCTTCAACTAAACAGTCCACAAATACCCCAGATACATCTGTATAAACATCGTCCAATTCCTAAAATAATAAAAAAGTAATAAAAAATAATTAAAAAATAAAAATCTTTCTAGATTACTTAAACCCTATCCTTGATACAAATAAAACCTTAACATCATGGTCTTAAACCATATCCTTGATACAAACTAAACCCTACCCTTGCCTTGATACAAACTAAACACTAACATCCTGTACTTAAACCCTATCCTTGATACAAACTATACCCTAAAATCCTTTACTTAAACCCTATCCTCGATACAAAATATACCCTGAAATCCTGTACTTAAACCCTACCCTTGATACAAACTAAACCCTATCATCCTGTAATTAAACCCTATCCTCGAAACAAACTATACCCTAAAATCCTGTACTTAAACCCTATCCTTGATACAAACTAAACTCTAACATCCTGTACCTAAACCCTATTATTGATACAAACTGTACTCTAAAATCCTGTAATTAGAACCTATCCTTGATACAAATTAAACCCTAACATCCTGTACTTAAACCCTATCCTCGATACAAACTATACCCTAAAATCCTGTACTTAAAACCTACCCTTGATACAAACTAAACCCTATCCTTGATCCATCCCAGATACACATATCTAACAGGATAAAAAGACAGATGTTTAAATCTAATCTTGAGATGAATTATCTGAGCAAACTTTAAACAATGAGTTGATGTAAAAACAGGAAAATCTTTTCTGAACTTTAATTGGACCTGAAACTAGAGTTTCATCAACCCTAATTAGTTTCCTTTTCTCTTATTTACAAAGGATTATGCAGATAGTATTCTTTGTATTACAGATTGTGTTATTATAGAGGTACTCATGTTTAAACATGGTATCTGGAGAAGATATCCCCCTGTTAAACCTGGTACCTGGAGAAGATAAGCCTCCTGTTAAACCTGGTACCTGGAGAAGATAAACATCCTGTTAAACCTGGTACCTGGAGAAGATATCCCTCCTGTTAAACCTGGTCCTGGAGAAGATATCCCTCCTGTTAAGCCTGGTACCTGGAGAAGAAGAACTCATATTAAACCTAGTACCTGGAGAAGATGAGGGAGGTTCTCTCCATAGTACTGATCTATCACTGCATTCGTGAAGTGAACCTGCTGGGCGTAATTATTATGCCTGCAAAACAGTATATATATAAACCTATGTGAATGAAAGCAAAACAGAATAGATAAACCTATGTGAATGAACGCAAAACAGAATATATATAAACCAATGTGAATGAATGCAAAACAGAATATATATAAACCTATGTGATTGAATGCAAAACAGAATATCAAATCAAATCAAATCAAATCAAATATTTATTGCACGAAGATTAGATTTTATACAATATAAATATCACATAGAAAAGTATAATCCTCGTGAGGGAAAATTAATCTGGGGGGGCCAGGTTTTCATAAAATAATAGAATTAAGGTTTAGGAAATTATTTAGTTGAGAAACAACAATTTTTTCAAGAATTTTACTCAGAGTAGGAAGGCAGGATATGGGACGAAAATTACTCAAATTATCTATGGCACCAGCTTTAAATATAGGTACAACACGGGCTAGTTTATAAGAGTTAGGAAAAATACCAGACTTAAGAGATAAGTTAAATATATGAGACAAGGGTTTACTGATTTCTGAAGCAACTGATTTAATAAGACAAGTACTAATATTATCAATATCCTTAGTAGATTTAGATTCTAAGTTTTGAATTTTTTCCTCAACTAGACTTGGAGTAAGATCAGTAAAAGTGAAATCCGAGCCAGAGAACTCATTTAAGTAAGTTTCAGGATTTGAATCAGTAGCGGGTAAGTTCTCAGCAATGGATTTACCGATGTTGGAAAAGAAATTATTAAAAGAATTGGCAATTTCAACCGAACCATTTATTTGAACCCCATCTAGGTTTATTGTTTCAATATGATCACCTTTAGCAGACTTTCTACCAATGATTTCATTCAAAAATTGCCAAGTTTTTTTAGGATTGCTCTGGTTCTCCAACAGTTTACTCTCATACTAAAGTTTTTTACTAAGGCGAATAAGTTTATTGTAAAGCTTACGATAATTTTGGTAATTAACCTTATTAACTGGCTCAGGATTGACTAAAGCAATTTTACCAAGATAAAGTTTTTTAGATCGAGAAACAAGTAAGCCCTGAGTCATGAAACCTTGTAACTTATGAATCTTGCGGTTAAATTTGGATGTAACCTCAGGAAAGTAAATATCAAACATTGAAGAGAATATATCATTAAAAGCTGAGTCAGCTAGGTCGACTTCGTCTAAGCTAAGTACATTATCCCAACTTAAACTCTGAAGAGCATTTTTAAAGGCTAAAATGTTAACTTGGGAAAAATTTCTATGCTTAGTAAGTTTGTTTATATTGCTTACGCGCTTAACAGGTATTTCGGAGAATGTCATGAAATGATCTGAGATACGATTAACAATAACACCAGCATCAAACTTAGAAGCATTAATATTAGTAAATATTTGATCAATCAGAGAGAAATTGGAATCAGTAAAATGGGTTGACTTTGTAATGACATTTAGAAAACCATTACCAAGAGCTGTTTCAAAAAATTCTTTAATTCTTGGACTATAAGGAATTTTTAGGAGGTCAAGATTACTGTCGGTTAGTATAAAAAAATCTGAATATATATATAAACCAATTTGAATGAATGCAAAACAGAATATATATATAAACCAATGTGAATGAATGCAAAACAGAATATATATAAACCTATGTAAATGAATGTAAAACAGAATATATATATAAACCTATGTGAATGAATGCAAAACAGAATATATATAAACCAATGTGAATGAATGCAAAACAGAATATATATAAACCAATGTGAATGAATGCAAAACAGAATATACAGTAAACCCCATATTAAAGAAGAAGTTAAAAAAGCTAAAAACTATGAAACCTTGGTAAACACTACGAACGTGACATTTAAAGCCGACAGTGAACAGTGAACAAGCCTTATATTGATTACTGTTGTGGAATGTGACAAGATATCTTAAACTTTAAATATACAAATTCCAAAACAATTTTCTAACTTAGAGACATCGATTTTTCTAATTGTGTAAAAGATAAGATTAGATTTTTAAATTTTTAGAAATCCTTCAAGGGATTTAGACGTAAATTGGGAAGATAAGGGAGGATTACATTTAACAGTAAAGAATCTATATTATTTTAACTCAATATAGCAATCAGTAGATAATGATTTTATAAGGCTGGCCATCTTACTCCGCCCCAGTTGTTTACAATCCACGGATCAACCCCCAAAGTAGTAGTTTTGAACGTCGAATTTGTGCTCAAACTCAGAATTTACAGATTTTTAAAAAGTTTAATATGTCTCAAATGAATCCGTAAGAAGTTTTCCACAACATTGCATACTCAGTTCAACTACCTTACATAGCCGGTCACTCCTTTTAAAGAAATAAAAGACTTGCCAAAAAGTTTAATTTTTGAATCCCTAAATCTTTGGAATCTGATGATGTTATCATTTTGAAATTTCAACCTTATAGACTTATTGATCAAAGTTTGATGTTTCGAGCGTCTAAATCCTACGACATTAGGTTGCAAAGATATAGGTATGTGTAGCGAATAATCAATTTCTTTTTTGAAGTTTACAGTTCTGAAATGAGTAATATCCTTTTAATATTATTTTGGATATTTTTTAGCAACTAATTTTTTCTTAAAAATTCATTTTGATAAAGTTGCAGTTCCCTCTTTTTTAAAATACTTTACTTCTAAAATTCGTTGGACTCTCGTTTTTTTGTTAACATTTTTCAATTATTAAGTTTATATGCAACTAACCTTTCTAAATATGCAGCTAAGGATGCTGGGGACTGGTTTTCTACATGGTTGGACCAGGAGTTCAGATAATCTCCATGCACCTAATCATAATTTTAATTTTATGTTTAGAAACTTTTTTAATTAAAATATTATTGCTTAAGGAATTTACTCTTTGTCACAAACTCTAATTTTTCAGTCCCCTTATCTTTGCAATGTTGTAGACCTTAGATATTTAAAACTATGAATTCTATTAGATTAAGTTGAAACGATAGAATGTTTTCCCTCGGCTATACTTCCAAAAATATGGAATCGATTGATTTAATTTGAGCTTAAAGAAACTAAATCTGCAAAATCGTTTAAAAGAAAAGTCGCCAAGATCTATTTAGATAGTTATGCAAGTTATATATGTAAAAAAGAAAACTGTGTCTAAACTTAGACTTTACTATCTTCTTCCCCCTAACATTCTGTACATAAACATGATTTTAATAACATATGTTACCCTCTGCTCCAAACCTTCCGCTGAATACTCTCCCTTTCCCTTAAACTTCATCACCCCCTCCTTACCTTATCCCTGATTTATCATCATTATCAAGAAGAATTGAACACAAGGAGGGGGCAATAGGGTTTCCGTACACTTTGCTGTGACGTTTTTAGACTGTGACTTGGTCCCAGAGAAGTCCAAATAAATCCAAAGATGTATGTCAGATGAGAATGAGAAAATATTAATGCCAAGTATTTCTTTTAGAGCAAACTGAAGGGCCCCTGATTCAGTATTTTAGAGCAAACTGAAGGGCTCTTGATTCAGTACTTTAGAGCAAACTGAAGGGTCCCTGATTCAGTATTTTAGAGAGCAAACTGAAGGGCCCTTGATTCAGTATTTTAGAGCAAACTGAAGGGCCCCTGATTCAGTATTTTAGAGCAAACTGAAGGGCCCCTGATTCAGTATTTTAAAGCAAACTGAAGGGTCCCTGATTCAGTATTTTAGAGCAAACTGAAGGTTCCCTGACTCAGTATTTTAGAGCAAACTGAAGAACCCCTGATTCAGTATTTTAGAGCAAACTGAAGGGCCCCTGATTCAGTATTTTAGAGCAAACTAAAGGGCCGCTGATTCAGTATTTTAGTTTTAATTCCCTCAAGTTTAAATGTTAAATCATTAAAATGAATTGGAAATGACTTCTTTTGATCTGTTACATTTTAATTCTAATTTAGGTATTGGATTTACAGTTTAAATAAAGTACTTTTGAATTTGATGCAACAGAAAAGAAAAAATCTTTTATATTTTGTTTCAAATTTTACAGGGTTCAATAAAATTCCATTCTTGGTCAAGATAATATTTTTTGTTTTACTTGGACGGAAATTGCACATTTTGTGTCATCATCTTTTTATCCTGACAGTGATACAAAGTTCTCACGTAAAATGTATGAGAGTTTATTCTTTAACTTCACTCACTTATTTGGGTAATTTTAGGGTAGACTGAACAGCCTATTCGCTGTTGATTGGTATTAGTCTTACTTCTCTGTGACAACTGTGGCCGGAGAAAATACCCAAATAACTGAACGGTTCCTTTAAGCTGAAACAACAGTTTTATAACTCTAAATTACTCATATCTAGGGCTACAAAACAAAGTTGTGAGAACGCTAGGTAGCATCAAGTCCAGGGCGTTGTACAACTTTACAGTCTTGAAAATTGATGTAACTAAAGGATCAATGTAACTAAAGGATCAATGTGACCTGATGGTGTAAACCTTTGATTTTACAAACTTTAACCGTTTGATCAATAGCAGATTTCATAAAAGGTAGAAATATCAAAGATATGCGAAATACGGTTGCAATGATATTTAATGAGTATGCACGCAAATCTGCCCCTTTAGTAAAAGTAAATTCAACCTATATGAAGCATAAAGTCTGACCGCGTCAACCTTGTTGTACCGGCTAGTCCTGTCCATAGAGCTAGGTACAGTACAAACGGAAAGGTTGACCCGGCTCGGAAATCCAAATGTACTACGGCTGCCCGTGTATGACTTATACAGCGATAACCGGAAAACAATAGAATAGGAAGACGACATTATAGCAATACCAATCTGTATTTAATGTTGTTAAAAGTAAATAATTTTACAATACAATTATTAAATCACTAATTTAGTGAATTGCGTCTATTTACACTCAACAAATGCTGAGTCTCGTGCTCATTGGTATTTTTAAAATTATAGCTTAAATCTAAAAGTCACTTTTTCCCACTTCTGTTTGCGAATTGCACGAGATGGCTGTATCGACGTCTGTGTTTCCTTCAAGATTATTAAAAAAAGTGAACCTTGGAAAGTTTATCTTCGTTCTCCGCTATAATGCTTTCATAACTCTCCCTCTGACTAAACACTTTTCTAAAAATAGATTTATTAGTTTCATGAATTCATCTAAAGCTGAAAACTATTTCTATTGACTACTTGACATTGAGGTTTTTTACAGGGGTGTTATGTATTATTTCTCCCCCCCCCCCTCTGAGGAAAAAGAAATTGATTTTTAGCGGGAAATTATCATAATGGATGAAAAAAACATGTGATGGACAATTTTTCATTTTGCCCCTTTATCTATCATTTCCAAATTCATAATATGATTTTGCAAATATTATATTATATTTGCAAATATTATATTATATTTGCAAATATTATATTTTATTTGCAAATATTATATTATATTTGCGAATATTATATTATATTTGCAATTATGATATAATATTTGCAAATATTATTATAATAAATAATAAGCACTGATTTCCATCTTATGTCCGGAATAATTTAATTGATCAGATTTTGAAGTGCCCAAATTGGATCTCGAGATCAAGCATTCAAGATTAACAACATTCAAACAAAAGTTTCAATTTTTGTTCATTAAAAAGAAATATTTGATATTGTTAATTTTATCTAATACAGTACAGTGTACAGTGTACTGTACACTGTACACTGTACTGTACACTGAACACTGTACTGTACAGTTGATATTGTTAATTTTATCCAATCCTGCCGCCTTGGAATTTAAGACAAACTTTTTATTAGAAGCTAGGAAAATAAGTAAAGTTAGCAATTAGCCTTGGTCTTTGGAATTTTAAAATATTCAGGCACCCCAGACTCAAATACCAATCATATATCCATTTTATAATCTTATACACATTGAGAAACAAATATAGAATTAAGGTTCGGAGTAAAATTTAAAATTTTAATCCTTTTATTCAGCCCATTGAAATATAGAAGAATGGAAACTAATTTTTAACAACTGAAACAGCAAAAATACAGAATTGCAGAAATCTAGAAATGGAAAACTAAATACTGGAAAACTGAAACAGGAAAAAAACAGTATACAGAACAGTAACATGGAATACGGAAAACTAGTAATATGGAATACAGAATACAGATACCTAGTATAGTATTCAGGCATACAGAATACAGAAACCTAATAAAGTAATATGGAATACAGTATACAGAAACCTAAAATAGTATTATGGAATACAGAATACAGAAACCTAGTATAGTATTCTGGCATACAGAATACAGAAACCTAATATAGTATTATGGAATACAGAATACAGAAACCCATAGTATTCTGGCATACAGAATACAGAAACCTAATATAGTATTATGGAATACAGAATACAGAAACCCATAGTATTAGTATTCTGGCATACAGAATACAGAAACCTAATATAGTATTATGGAATACAGAATACAGAAACCCATAGTATTCTGGCATACAGAATACAGAAACCTAATATAGTATTATGGAATACAGAATACAGAAACCCATAGTATTATGAAATACAGAATACAGAAACCTAGTATGGTATTATGGAATACAGAATACAGAATACAAAATAGAGATAACTAGTGGTGGATTACTGAACATTGAAAACTGAAACAGTAAAAATACGGAATAAAAAAACTAGTAATGGAATACTTAATACTAAATATTGAATATATTTCTTACCTTGATTGTATCTTCATATGAAAAGTTTTCTCTAGAAGAGTTCTTGCCACGGAACGACTTAAGGTACTGGCGATCTCAGTGTGACAAGAAGAATCCTGAAAAGTGTACAGTACAGTGTACAGTACAATGTACAGTACAGCGTACAGTACAGTGTAGAGTACAGTGTACAGTACAGTGTACAGTACAGTGTACAGTACAATATACAGTACAGTGTAAAGTACAGTGTAGAGTACAGTGTACAGTACAGTGTACAGTACAGTGTACAGTACAGTGTACAGTACAGTGTAGAGTACAGTGTACAGTACCGTGTACAGTACAGTGTACAGTACAGTACACTGTACAGTGTACAGTACAGTGTAGAGTACAGTGTACAGTACAGTGTACAGTACAGTTTACAGTACAGTGTACAGTACAGTGTAGAGTACAGTGTGCAGTAAGTGTACAGTACAGTGTACAGTACAGTGTAGAGTACAGAGTACAGTGTGCAGTACAGTGTACAGTACAGTATAAAGTACAGTGTACAGTACAGTGTACAGTACAGTGTACAGTACAGTGTACAGTACAGTGTACAGTACAGTGTACAGTACAGTGTACAGTACAGTGTACACTACAGTGTACAGCACAATGTACAGTACAGTGTACAGTACAGTGTACAGTACAGTGTACAGTACAGCGTACAGTACAGTGTACAGTGCAGTGTACAGTACCTAATTGCTAATTTTAAGTTGGGAAACTGTATAATCCCTGGCAAAGTCTAACCAGTGAATGGCTGCAGTGAATGGTATCCAACTTCAAAGGTTGAACCGTAAAGAGGGAAAGGAAGGAACCGCTAAACTGATTGTTTTTAGGGTGCAATAGTTTTGGCCTCTTAATTCTAATTTATTCAAATAATTATTAGACCTGAAGAACGTCGGCCATCCATTGTTCCCAGCTGATTGATATCGAACTGTTAGATCGAGGCCTGAATAGATAGATTTGTACTGAAGAATACTAACTTGTTGTTCAAAATGTCGAACTATACTATAAACATTTTTAAATCCCAAGCGTTTTGTTGTAATAGAATATTAGCAAAATTTCATCTATTTTTTATCACAAACACTCTATTCATAATGTTTTACAATAAATTTATTATTTCGAAATCTCTTCGATACAATCATAATGTTATGATAGCTTAAAAAGAAAGATATTGATAATGAGTATATATAGATCAGGGCCATAGTAAAAAACGTCAAACTCAAGGTTATAATGCAAGGGAAGTTATTTCAGAGGTGTACGCATCTTTTGTACTGCAGTGTACTGTCCCTGGGCGGTAATGTAAACACAAGACGGGTGTCACAGCCTGACATGGGATCCATCTTTCACATATAAAATCAATGAAATATTCTGATCATAGGAAACTAATATGTGAATTATCAAAATTATCAAAATTAAATGCTTTTAACCTCCCCGAATACTAAACGATCCCTGATGTATCTATTCTTGTTTACAAATTCCGCCCAAGAAGAACTGGTTTCAATAAACCTCTGAGAGTTCCAATAATATTTAACTTAAATAAAACTCTGAGAATTCCAATAATATATAACTTAAATAAAGCTCTGAGAGTTCCAATAATATATAACTTAAATAAAACTCTGAGAGTTCCAATAATATATAACTTAAATAAACCTCTGAAAGTTCCAATAATATATAACTTAAATTTTGCATATTTGAAATGGCATGGTCAAGGGCTTTTAAAAAATGTATAATTTTTCATTTTTTGGACAAATTTTTTTTTTGCAAACATTTTTACTATAAAACTAGATTTTGCGATAAAAAATTCAATTTTCGCAAATTTGCAAAATTGTTTGCAGATTCTAAAAGTAGAGCACAAGAGCTTTCTAATGATGTATCATTTGTCATATTTGACATAAAAAATGGGATTTAGAGGGGGGGGGTCAAATTGATCCCCAGCGTATCCTGGTTTTCAAGTACCCCAGCAGGGATAGGGTTAAATAAAACTCTGAAAGTTCCAATAATATATAACTTAAATAGATTCTTTTCAAAGAAAACTAAAAAAAATATCTATTAAACTTGTAAAAGAGAGCTAATACTGAAAATGTTAATTTATAAAAGGGAGTGTTCGCGAAAAATGAAAGGGGGTAGAGGCTCACGGCGAAAAATAAGCGCTTTTGATCGCTACTATTCTTCCTTCTATCTTTTGCGTCTATAAGGAGAAAATTGTTAAAAACGACTTATACTGAAGAACGTAATGTCCATATAAATTGAGAAAGTTGCAATATACGACTCGTATTGTTAAATATTAATTTAATTTCAAACAAATCATCCAGATATTACCACCTACTGTCATCGATTATTTTTCGACGCATTCGTATATAGTTAGTATTTCATGATATGTTTATTTGTTTTGTATACAATGCACTTAATAGTTGGTCGCCAGGTGTCTCTGCTCTCGATGCTTTGAATGACTTGCACGTGTCAGAGACACCTAGCGGAAAAAACGTCGCTTTAGACGCAACAGATAGAAGCAAGACTAGTAACGATCAAAAGCGATTATTTATCGCCGTAAGCCTATACCCCCTTTCATTTTTCGCGAACACTCCCTTTAAGAGATAAAAAAGAATCTCCTACATTTCTAAGTAACATTAAAAACAATATTTCTGAAGTTAGAACCTTTGTAATGTAAGTCTTGGGATTCTTAATATGAGTATAAATCATCAAATTTAAAAGCTCCCCCATTGAATATCGACGAGATCAAGCGTTCAATACCAACGATACTCCACACATCAATTCCGACCTCTGATAATCTATATACAAACCCGTCATTCAGAATATCAGAAGTCCTTTTCCTAAACTCTTCCACAAGAAGAGCACTGTCTTCAGCAAACTGCTCATGGATCTTAGAGAGCTGGTGGTTGAAGTCACTCACTGAAAAATAGTAATATCACTATCCATTGATGTGCATCATTTTCAAATTCGTTTTTAGACTTTTCAATTCAGGAATCTGAGTTGTGCGTCCTATTTTAAAATTGCATGCTCGAGGATTTTGAGGTGGCTTTTACGAGAAATTGAGGAGAATATGTTGCTCGGACAAGATATTGGTGTGGTTGGCCTTCCTCCCCTCGGTAAACAAATAATACAGACAAACGGAGAAAACAGCTATAAATATAAAGTAGTTATTTCTTTCTTTTTTGTTTGGATGTCCGATCATAACTCATGAACCACGTGAAATTTTTATTTTGGAACTCGGAAGAAGCCCGGGAATGTTCTTCGTTAGGTGTTAAGAGTCTAAGTTGAGTGAATTGACTTAAATAGTGAAATTTTGTTTCCCGGTAAAATCGACTAAGTGCGGGTAAACGGCGGTAGTAACAATAAGCAACCTAGGCAGCGCCGGGTTCCCAAAGCTATAAATACTTTATAAATTTATATACAGAAATCAATAAATATTGTAATTTAGCACTGATATTCAACTTATCTTTACTAAAGGAATTGAGTTTTTGCCACAAACTTACATTTTCTAAACCTTTTTCTTTGGTGTAAACCTTTGATATTTCAACCTAAAAACCATCTTTCTTCCTGGTATTTCAACAAAAAAAAAATTGCGATTTTTCGCTAAATCAAAGTTGCAGTATTTCCGAATTTAAGAACCTGCAGGATCATTAAAATATACAATACAAGCTGAAGGGCCCGGCGTTGCCCATTAAAAAATTTTTTTTTTAAATGTTGAAAAAAAAATATTTTAAGATAATTGTCGAGAGGATACAAAAAGAAAGGAACAGGATCTAAAGAGAAGAAAGAAAGAAAAATATTAATCTTTAAATCAAAATTCTGACTCAGGAACTCAGAACCAAATCTAAGCATCATCAAATTGTTGAGGGCTCTTTAAACCTTCCAGGTATTTTCATTAGTATATACTGAACATTTAGATATTCTACAATAAATATTGTATTTGTAATTTATTATCAATATTCAAATATTCTAATATATATTGTAGTTTATAGTCAATTATCAAATAATCCACATGACACAGGGGGTCCCACTCCCATAGTAAATATGGAACTGAAGTAGTGATTAATAATCTGCATTGTTACAGTTTTTACTTGTTTCGTATTTGATTTATAAAATCGGATGTTACATTATTATATTTTATCCAATTTTATAATCTCAATGTTTTGAATAGGTTCTATCTTTTCAAAAGTTTTTAGTTCTGGTTTTCATACTTATAAATCATATTTAACGAGACACTAACTGCACCCTTCATTTTATTTTCTCAAAATTCATTTCTCCAAAATTTAACAATTCATTATCTTAATATTTTCCTGCGCAATTGAAGGTTTCTATTGAGGATTCTCAAAGTATATTGGAAATGTTGGCAAAGTTTTTATTTTAATAATTATTCATAAAAGAATTGAGTTTTTGCCACAAACTCTAGTTTTATAACTCTTTTTTCTTTGAAACACAATGTCGTAGACTTTTGATATTTTTTACTTCTCTTCGATCAAATAATCTAAGTTCAGAATTTCAAAGGTTTACACCATCAAGTTGCAAAGATGATTAGAAAACTTGAGGTTGTGGCAAAGACTCCATTCACTTAGAATTTTTGTTAAAATGCTGCAGCGCAGAATAATTGAGATAATGGCCCATAAAAGTTTCACTTTATTTTATGTTTTGAAAATCTACTGATCAAAATAGGAAATTCCGCAAAAATGTTAATGTTAAATACGATCCCTATAAATGTTTGATTGTGCAGCCACGAAAATCATCTACTTTGAAATGTGAAATAAATAAAAACTTTATAAAATAAATAAAAGGGTGTATGTTTGTATGCTGGATTAGTATTGCATCTGATTTTATTTATTACTACCTGAAGAGCCCGGTGTTGCCCGTGGAAAAAAAATGTTGAAAACAAAATTTTCGAAAATTTTTTTGTTTAGCTTACAACAACCCCCCGGCCACCCATGAGTGTAAAAAAAAAAAATTCAGCCCAATCGGTCCAGCCGTTTGGCCGGCTACAGGGAACACACATATATACGAATGTCTTGTTTTATTATTTAGATTTCAATCTTATGTCTGTAACTCATTCTAAACCTCAGTTCATAGTTCCATCACACAGACACATAGATTTAGCCTGATAAGAACAGTTTCAGTAATTTTAAAGACAGGATCGACTTTGAAGTGTCGGAACGGCTTGGGCTTTAATTTTACCGCTCTAACCAAGAAGTACGGAATAGAAGGGAGAAATAACTGACGTGGCCCGCCCTACCATATCATTATACATGCTTTGCAGACTGGTACTCCATTAAAATAAGAAATACTTGTCTGATGTTACAATTACTGCGTATACAATAACCTATTCTGAATATTTCTTAAAGCATGCATAATCATATGGTATTTCATACTCCTTGGCTCTAACTCACTTTTATATGTTGTAGCCCTATGGATAACCATCTAAATTTTAGGACATTAAAGCACTGGTTTTTAGTTTTAGTTTTTAGAACGTAATTGCCAATATTCTTATTGATTTTCGGGGTGAGAGCTTGGAACCTTTAAATACTACTTACCAAGTTTAACAATTTTGAATGTAGTTTGTTGCTGGTTTCTCAAGGGTTCACTAAGAACGGGATGAACAAGATCCCTACAATAAAAAAATAGTTTTGAACAGTGTAGAACTAATGATAGGGGGATTGAGTTTTTTTATAACTAACTGTGAATAAAGGGGGGGGCAGCCGGGCATCCCCCCCCCCCCCAACTGTCTACCTAACTTCATGTTAACTTCAACATTTCAAGATTTACAAATACGAAGAATTCACCCCGGACTAACCAGAGTGAGCAGCATTCAGTTCTTATATTGAAATAAAACGTTTTTGGAATAAAATTCAACATTATTTTACCTTACGGATTTGTTTATTCTATGCTTGTTCATTCAAAATGCAGATGCCGGCATAAAAGAATTTTAGAAAAAAGGCTAAAAAATGATGTTTAATGGGTCAAATTGTGATCGAAAGTCACAGCTTTCTGGAATATTGACAGAATCATTAAATCTCGGGTGCTTAGCGCAAAACAATTAGTTACCCTTTCGAACAAAACTTTAAATTGCAGTTCTCCTTAAACGTGGGATGAAAGGAAATTGAATATATATCTATTTATATCTTTATCTTCGTACATTGGTTTAAAATATACAACTGTTAATAAGGTATTTTTGTTCTATATAATATATATACTTTGCTTGTCTGTCTGTCTGTATTCAATAAACGTCAAAACGGTTTAACCGATCGGGCCCAAATTTTGTGTGGGACCTAACATGCTTGAAATTAAAAATATGTAGTCCAGAGCTGAAAACTTTAGAGTCTTGGATATCGAGATCAATACTTGATCTCCTCTTTTTGTTAATCTCCAGATTATCATAATCTTTATCCACTAAAGTGCCTAGAATTCTACCAATCTGAGTGTACCAAATGAGAGGATTAAGAAAATCAAAAGTTTCCACAGTGGATATTCAGATTAAGCTATCTGGATTAAGGGTATCCAATTCTAAAGTTTCCAGCTCAGGAGTTTTTAATTTTAGGAAAAGGTACTAAATGTCACTTGAATGTCCCTTTAATTAAGTTTTTTTACCTGATATGAAGACCTTGATGACCCATATCTACAGTTAGTTCAATTCTTCCTTCGTGTTTAGTTTTAGGTTTACAGAAGATCACTGGGTGTGATGCCTGCAGGGACACAGAGAATACAAGATTACAGAACACAGGGATACAGAGAATACAAGATTACAGAACACAGGGATACAGAGAATACAAGATTACAGAACACAGGGACACAGAGAATACAAGACTACAGAACACAAGGGGCACACAGAGAATACAAGATTAGAGAACCCATGGGACACAGAAAATACAAAATTATAGAACACAGGGTACACAGAGAATACAAGATTATAGAACCCAGGGTACAGAGAATACAAGATTATAGAACCAAGGGATACAGATAATACAAGATTATGGAAAACAGTGGACATAGAGAATACAAGATTACAGAACCCAGGGTAAGCAGAGATTACAAGGTTACAGAACAGACATGCAATCGTGTGTCGGTTTATAATTAACAAAATTGTGTTTATCGTTTTTTCATGAAAAATGCATTCGCCGACAAAAAATATAGGAGAGAAAAAGCGAGAAAAAAAAATATGATTAATTAAACAAATATTACTTTGAAGTGAAATTCAGAAGGGCCTGTAGATTCTGCTTGAGCTAGGGTTTTAAAATTTCGATCGCGACATTGTTCTAATTACATCGAAAATTATTTTAGTGAATTAAGAAAATAGCGCAAAATTTTGGAAGCTAGTTTTGTGATGTTCGCTAAAATATATTTTTATAATTTCAATACAAAACTACAATTAACAGTGTTCAATTAAAAATTGAGTTTTTGTCAAAAGATTAAATTTTCTAATCCCTAAATCTTTGCAACATGAAGGTCTAACACTTTGAGTTGCAAAGATATAGGAATTAAAATTAAGTATGTAGGAAAAATAAAATATCTATCGCAATGTAGAAGTATTTTTGGAACAAATTTAATTTAAATTGTTCAATTATGTTCTCAAAATAAAGGTTTATAGATGATCAAACAATCACTTTTGCACAAAATTCTCCAATTTATTTTTAAACCATTTTTAATGAATTAAGAGTACTTTAAGTTTAGCGATAAATGAATAAGACGAACTTTATTTCTATCAGATGTTTCTGTTCAGAGAATTTTTTATTTACTATACTTTAGTCATCTCAAAATATAGAAACAAAAACAATTTCTGAAATGCCTTAACTAAGTCTACAGGTTTACAAAATAGTTTACCAAAGTTTTTGCAAGTTATTTTTATAAAAAACTTCTTTTAATTTTGTTTTTAAAATTAAACTTCATTGACATCCTTAATCTGAATGAATGTATTTTCTCTGCCTGTGGATCTCTATCAGCTCCTGTAGGTATAAGATCGGGTAGGTTAATAGGTTCTCCAGGGGGTAGGGTAGAGGGTGAGGGTGGGGGAGGTTGGAAAGGGTAGGGTACTGTTAATTCCTCGGGTTCCTGGAATAATATTTAATTAATTTCTTAATAAAGGATGAATTTCTTAAAAATTAATCAGCTAAAAATTCAATTACTTTCATTCAATAGAAATAAATTATAAGATTTTAGATATTCACTAAGTAAAATTCTTTATTTGGACAAATATTAATATACAGTGGACTGCTCAACGTTCATAGTTCGTTTGCAAAACATCAAGTGCTTAATCCATTAAAATAGCTAACTTGTATTGAACTTTAAAGATATCCTGAGCTGAAAACTTAAGAATGGGATATCCTTAATCCCGATCTGTTAATTAATCTGAGCTGGGAACTTTAGAATTGGATATCCTTAATCCCAATCAGTTGATTAATCTGGAGATTAAAAACAAGAGAAGAACAAGCATTATTTAATCTGGAGATTAATAACCAGAGAAGAACAAGCCTTATTTAATCTGGAGATTAATAACAAGAGGAGAACAAGCATTATTTAATCTGGAGATTAATAACAAGAGAAGAACAAGCATTATTTAATCTGGAGATTAATAACAAGAGGAGAACAAGCATTATTTAATCTGGAGATTAATAACAAGAGGAGAACAAGCATTATTTAATCTGGAGATTAATAAAAAGAGAAGATTAAGCATTAATCCCACTATCCACCATTCAAAAATTTCCAGCTCTGGAGATTAAAAGCAAGAGGAGAACAAACCATTTATTATAATCTGGAGATTAATAAAAAGAGGATATCAAGCAATGATCTTGATATCCATGCACCATTCTAAAGTTTTCAGCTCTGAAGGAATAATAACTTAATCTGTTTAGACAAAAAAGATACGGTTAGGATTGTCAACTCAAAATCTTAATGAAGAGTTTGTATCTCAATTCAATTTGACATTCATTATATGTATATTTAGGTGAACTCGAAAATATAAAAAAAAACTAGCTGAAGGGCCCGGCATTACCTGTGGAAAAAAAAAATTGAAAATTTTTCGAATTTTTTTAATTCAAAAAAATCGATTTTTTTTAGCCTTTAACACCTCCCGGCCATCCAGCCTCAGAGAGTGTCCACAAAAGAATTCAACCCAATCGGTCCAATCGTTTGGCCGGCTAAAGGCAACATATATATACGAATGTCTTGTTTTATTATATAGATTAATGTTACATGCCCAAACTTTACTTCTCTCTACTTATTGTTCTTTACGTTACTGTACTGTAACTGTGCGAATCCTTTTTACTTTTATGTACAGTACTGAGCTCTACTGTACTGCACTGTACTGTACGCATTGTCCTAGAAGGATCTGTGATGTCATATACTGCACTGGGCCCAAAATTTAAGACAGGGTATCGTTATAAAAACCAGTTTTGAAACCCGGGTTTCATGAATGGGGTTAGGTAGTTTTGTAGATATTAATATTTTTGTTATGAATTATTATATTATTTAGTTTCTTCATATGCTCCTTTTTTTCGAATCTCTTAAATTAAAATCTACTTAAATGTTAAGACCCCAAAATGGAAACTCGGGAGTTTCATTCAACGATACTCTTTTAAATTTCGGGCTCTGAGTTCTAGTCATAGAGAATAGAATATATAGAGAGGAATTAAAAGAATCTCTCGGTATGAATTTTTTCCGTCCCTTTCAGTCTAAAGAGGAGTTCAAAGTGTACAAATCATGTAAATGTTCGCAAATTATATGCAGTAGAGTACATCAATACAGTATGTTCCCTAGACTATCCATTTCAATTTCGAATTTTATAAACTGTTAAATAAACTTAATAATGAATTAGGTGAATAAAAACATCATTTGATTTATAGTTATAACGGAAAATCATCGTTTGTAAAGTGGAAGGCTTAGAGTCTATGTGAATAATCATTGGTAAATTATGAAACCAGCCTATTTCATAATTTGGTTTTCTTTTAACAATAATTTTAGATTTTCTATATAATGATATTCCAGGGCCCAACAGGTTATATAGCATAAATATGTGAAGTACACCTGCAGTATGGATACAGTACAACAAAATGGCCGTTTTACACTTTTTTTCAGTAAATTCCTCTCTATATATTCTATTCTCTATGGTTCTGGTGTACTGTACTGTACATATATCTATCCTCCGAATTCGATGTTGACCAAATGTGTACTGTACTGCACTGATTTTGCTGTATTATACTGAACCTGCATATTTGATTCTAACTAAGTATGTTTACCGCACTGTTCTGCAGTTCAGTTGTACTGTACTGTATACCTGTATATATCCTCTGGATTCGATGCTAACCAAATATGTTTCTTCTAGAATCTGTGAAGCAGGTCCTAACACGATCATGGTTGGGCAGAGCAGGGAGGCCCTGCACCTAGCTCCCACATTCTAGACTCTACAAAGTAATATTATTATTATTATAGACTCTACAAAGTAATATTATTATTATAGACTCAACAAAGTAATTTTATTATTATAGACTCTACAAAATAATATTATTATTATAGACTCTACAAAGAAATATTATTATTATAGACTCTACAAAGTAATATTATTATTAAAGACTCAACAAAGTAATTTTATTATTATAGACTCTACAAAGTAATAAGATTGATGTTAGGTACTTTCCCAAATGCTTTTTCCCAGGTGGTTACTTCCCAAAGATATTTTCCCAAGTCTGGCCTAGCCGCATCACTCGACCCTCTAGCTCATCCTAGCCGCACCCTAGCTAGCCCATCGGCCCCTTTAAAGCCTGTGGCGCCTCAGAAGGCCTTATCTAACCTTTGGAAAGTTACCACTTGGGAAAATGTCACTTGGGAAGTCGCAGTTGAGAACATGTCTTTGGGAAAGTACCTAAAACCATCAAATTATTTTAGGTTCTACACAGTAATAACATATTTCTCGTTCTTCACAGTAAGAATAACAGAGACTCAATTTCTTTGAAATAATCTATCCACGCAAGTACCTCTGACCCTTTAGTAAAAGTAAATTCAACCTAAAGTCTATTCGCGTCAACCTTGTTGCACCGGCTAGTCCTATTGAGTGTCTGCTTTATTTACCCAATGTCCGGGCGAAACATTACAAACTGGGACTGGAAAGGTTGACCCAGCTCGGAAATTCACATGAACTACAGCTGCCGGGCACGTATTTTGTTTATTGTGAATAAAGATGATATATCTGGAAAGTCCAGATTATCCAATGGCTTCAATTCCCCAGATTATATTGAGAAGATTAATCTTTTATATTTGTATCATTGATTTTTATTCCTATAGTAATATACATATCCAATATATATTGTATATTATATATATAATATTCAATATATATTTTATATTATATATATAATATCCAATATATATATAATATCCAATATATATTGTATATTATGTATATAATATCCAATATATAATGGCCTAGATTTATGAAAGTCTATTTTCTACTCCTGTGGTTCAAACATTGTTAATAAAATAGCGGTTAATGGTTATATTAGTTTAGATCGAGTACAGGGGGGGGGGGGGTGCTATGTTCTAATGTTCTCCCTCCTCCTTTTGGATTTTTTTTTACTTTGTTCCAGTTCCAATTCCATTTCAAATCTATTTTTTTTTAAATTCAATTATGAAAAAGGATGATGATAAAGTAAAGTAAAAAATGGTTAAGCAAAAGAAAAGATTAAGATCTATAAGCTCTGTTATCAGATTTAAACACAGATATGATGATCATACTTCTTTCAAACTTAACCAAATAATTGTATAAATTTGTATGTTTTAATATAATGACGACATGAACTGTGTTCATATGATTAGATGGAATATGGCAAAAAAAAGAAAATATAAGTTTAAAAAAATGTCAAAGAAAGAATAAAAGCTAAAAGAAAAAGACAAGGGAAAAAAGATAAAATATCAAAAAATTTTGAGGATTTAATCGATAGAACAAAAAAACGCAATGCCATTAAAAAAAAAAAACAAAAAAAACAGAGCAACCATCTTTTCTATCAGAAGAATAACAAGAAATTTCTAATGCAGGAGTTTTGCGCAGTCGGCGTAGAACAGACTCTTTCTTGTAATTCTACGCCGACTGCGTGAAACTCCTCTGGGCTTCTGCCTCAGGATTATTGTGAACGAGTTTTATTCAAATCTTGAAAAGACGACTTTTAGTGTCCAATCTGTTATTTCAATTAATCTATGGTAGAAATGCTGTGATTTGTCTAACAAGGAAATGAAATAATGTGATTTTATATTTTTCTTTGTGAGTTGACTAAATATCCGCCTATTTTGGCATTAGCAACAACATCGCTCGTAAGTTAAATATCAACAATCTGACGCAGAATTTTAGCAGCAGGATTAAGCCAAATACGCCTTCAAAACTTCATTTTCCCACTTTTAAATTTTAAAATTTAAAGTTTTAACAATGTTCTATATTGTTTTATTAAATCAAGGTCTTCTTCAGGATTTTTTTCATGGGGGGGGGGGCTTAATTTTTTTATAACCCCTTGAAAACCACAGATTTTACTGGTCCACATGGGGCTAAGCCCCATTAGCCCCCNTAATGTTCTAATGTTCTAATGTTCTAATGTTCTAATGTTCTAATGTTCTAATGTTCTAATGTTCTAATGTTCTAATGTTCTAATGTTCTAATGTTCTAATTTTCTAATGTTCTAATGTTCTAATGTTCTAATGTTCTAATGTTATTATGTTCTAATGTTCTAATGTTCTAATGTACTAATGTTCTAATGTTCTAATGTTCTAATGTTCTAGTGTTTAAATAACCTTATTATGACTAACAAGGAAGAGAAATTGGACCCAGTCTTTCCTAATTATTTTTACTTTGAGCCTAAACTCAGTTATGACGTAAACAGCTTCTAAAGAGAAAGTTTTAAAGACCATGAAGGTCATTAAAACACCATGAAACTTGTCCTTGTAGATGCAAAAAATGCTATTTTTTTAATATTCCTCCTCATGTTCGTAAATATTTTTAAATTATAATTTTGCTTTTATTTTCATTCATCTTTTTTCCTCAAAATCATTAAATCTTTATGTAGGGTTAAAAAAACGACCCAATAATGGTTTGCTAAAGAAAAAATCTTGTTTTTAAATGAAGGGAATTATTGGTTGTATGAAAAATACCTCAATAAACTTCGTCTCTGAAGTCTTACCGTTTGTCCGCTCTGTATGAGAATATTGAAAAAATCTCTGTTTTTCATTGCTGATTACAGCTATTGGGTTTGGAATTATTCAAACATATATGTGTATGTTTACGTAACAAATTGTTAAGCAATGTATAAAAGTCGAAAAAGACACACAAATTTCATTTTTTAAACATTGAAATAATTCCTGAAAGTAAGAACATTTTTTTGAGAAATTTATTAAAGGGAGAAGCCGGCCATGTCGCATATTTGAACTGAGAATGCAGTATTTTCGAGAAAAACTTTAGGATTCATTTGATGATACCAATGCGTGACATTTTTACGGTGTAGAATTTATAAATAAGAGGTTGTTGTCGTTTAAGTAATATTTGACCAGTTGTTCCAGTCAGCAGAAGAGACGTTTCTTACAATTTTATTCAATAACCTGGACAAAACATGTAAAAAAATTGTATAGTCTAACTTGCCATTTAGGAACATAATTCTTTAAAAAAATTATCGTTTAAAACGATTGTAGAACCGTAGAATCGATTACTTCATCATTATCTTTACCTTTGCTTTTTCCATAATTTTATTCGCAGATTTCTTCAAAATGTCGTCTTCATAATTAAAATAAAGAAAACCTCCGACAAGCGACCCTAGCTAAAAGAATTTGCATAAACCTGCGAGATTTTAAAATGAATTTTAACAACTTATTTGTAATGATCTAAGTTCATTATTTATCTCAACCTGTTTGTATACATGTAACTAGTTTGTAGAACAGTATTTGTTACATGTTTTGTCCATGTTATGTAAGAATGAATCCTAAAGTTTTTCTCTACGACCATGTCTATGTTGGGTATTATTGTCAGGTGATTTGGTGCATTATCAAAGTGGAAATTTCTTAAGAAATCTATTCGAGATAGAAATTGAGCTCTTGCCACAAACTCAAATTTTGAATCCCTATATCCTTGCAAACTGATGCGTAGGTAATACTTTGATATTTCAACAGCGGTATATAAAGTTTTAGACATCGGCAATGAAAAATCGGAGTTTGTTGCAAGAACTCATATCTTTTTTTAGATTTTATGTTTTAACTTTGCATTTATCATCAAGATTTTAACCAATTTTATTTGAAAAATTTATTTATTTGCACCTTTTAGAATAATTCGAAATTCACACTTTTTGACGTTCCCCCCTCTCAAAAAAATTGTATTTTTCTTTGTTAATGCTCAGTAAGTTGGGATATAAAAATTCACATTCACATTACCAAATTTAGTAAAAATACGTGCTGTATGATAATATAACATTTATATAAATATTAAAAGTCAAAATCTATTGAATTATACTTTTATCTCAATTTAACTGACAAAAGAAATATTTTTACCGAATACTAAATTCTCATGTTCTCATCTGAAAAGAGAGATAGATAGATAACTAAATAGATGGTTTAAAATTGGATGTTGCGATATCCACAGACTACACAGACTGCTCATAAACTCTACATAAAGAGGCTGAGCAGGCCTATAGTGTCCCGGCACGCCATGCTACGGTTCCATGTACTGGGAAAAGGTTGATGAATCTTGTTTTTTTTGTCTTGATTTATGTAAAGAAATTTAAATAGCAGTTATTAAATGTTTAAAGAGGAGTGACCAACTTAACATTTGAGCTGCAGTGGTATAGAGAACAAATAATTTGGATTCATTTGATACTAATAAAACGGTTTTAAGGTACTTAATCCCATAGGAAGTGCGCAAATCGATATTCTCCCTCATTGTCCAATTTGGAGGTTATATTTTAAGAATCAGGTTTTAAAATTATTCAATGTAAAAATTATAACAACAATTCTACAATTAACTAATTACAGGGTGTCCTTTTAATCTTGCCAGTTTTCAAATTGCTGTAACTTTGTTATTGTTTGGAAATTTTCCAATCTGAAAAAAATTGGGTAATCAAAATATGAACGTTTTGTTGTATACAAGGAAACTTCACAATTTGAAAACCAAAATATGCGCAAATTCAGTTATTTTATTAGAGCTATATTCCAATATGGTGGTTTCTAAAGAAACTAAGATTTTAAACCATAAATCATAAATCTTATGTATCAATGATAACATGAAAACAGCTAATTTTAAATTTCGGGACCTTTCCTGTAGCAAACTTTTGTTACTGATATTCCTTGTACATTTTGAAACCAATATAATTGAAACAATAAAAGATTTTCAAACATTTTTTTGAATCGAAATTATTTTGAGGCCAAATATTTAAATTCTGACAGTTACAAACATACATTAGAATTTTTAAAGAATTGGTTTTAAAATTTTATTTTCAAATCTTTGGCTTTAGCAGTTTTTTACCATTGTCATTTATTAATTTAGATCCGCTGTTTGAATAGTGTTTATTTATTATTATTAGATTTAGACTTTTTTTGAGGAAACCCATCGGTATCCGAGTGGTAACATAGGCAATTTTTTTTCTTATTCTATTTTTTATATTTTAAATTCAACAGGCAACGCCAGGCATTCCAGCTACTTTTACATAATGTTCCATATTTGAATTATTTTTGAGGCTATAAAAGCCTTTTTTTATGATAAAATTATAAGAATTTGATTTTAATGTAAAATAAAAGTGATACTAATTTTTTGTTGGGCCTAAACAGTAAACACGTTTTCTAAATTATATGTGACATATATATCCTTATTATCGCTTAATGGAGATTGCAGATTTCCAATAAAAAACATTTTGGCAAAGAAACAAAAATACTTAGATCTCACTTTAAATTCTATTGACTTTTCTCCAGGGTTATTTTACATACAACCTATAAAACGGTGGGTTATGAAGACGACCTGAAAGCAATGTTAGGTGTAGTTGATGTTTTTAAAAAGCAAATAATTTTACAATAGCTTAAAAATCAACTTATCAAATTAATTATGGTTCCTGCAAAATTACCGGGTTTTATGTTTTTAGACAATTTAAAACCATAAGTTGCGTCTTCCTAATATATTCCATTGCTTTATGGGTCTTACTGTATCCCATTTTTAAATCATTTTCTTTTGAACGTTTACCCATGAATGCAGTCTATAAATTTTCATTATTTTTAAATTGTTTTCAGAAAAAGATTAATTTGATGTGCAAAGTTTATGATCCATATGACGTCACTAGCTCGTAATGTGATGAGTGTGTTTATATAAAGAGAGAGGGAAGGCGCGCCAAAAACAATTTTTCATCCGAGCCTCATTCTTCCGAGCTCCCTGGTAATGCTCGTTCTAGCAATAATATCTTGTTATTTAAATGTAAAGTCTTTTTTGAGGTTAACCCCTCTAAATTCAAAATATGGCTACATAATTTTTCTCTTTGTTTTATGTCCAAAGAATTTGTTTTTTTCCTCACCCACTTTATTGTATAGCATATTTTAAGAATGAGCATTTGAGGTGGCTTGGATGAGAAAATCAGAATGTGGCTCAGAGGAGGAATTATTGTGGCAGGCTTCCCTCCCTCGTAGAACACAATGACAGGAAAAGCGGATATTTGCACAAGTTCTATACTTTTACAATGGCTAGACTGGGATAGGGGCGCAACTGTAAAGTGGTGAGGGGGGGGGGGAGGAGTGAGGAAAAGCAAGTACAGAAAATTTGCAGAAAAAAATCAGAATCTCCTTTGAAGGTCAGACAAGTCTAATTTCCTGTATTTCTACAATTTATTTTCAGAAAAAAAAACATTGTGAATGTCTTTGCACTTGAGGTGGAACAGGATTGAGATTGTTTGATATTTTTAACAAATCATGGTAAAAATATTTTAAATCGTTTTAAAACTGTGATACTTAAAGTTTCATTATATAGAATTAGATACAGAGTTTCCCCCGAAACATGACAGTTAAGTGAAGAATTGACCCCCCCCCCCCCTCCTCCATGGTATTTTTAAGGTTCTTTGCAACAAGCTAGTGTACACTGTACACCTTTATTGGTTCAATCTAACAGAAATATCTACGGCCCCACGACGTTGGGTTGTAAAATGGTTGCAAACTTGTATAGCTGGAAACCTAACCAAAGTTTGTGGCAAAGACTCAATTCCTTTGAATAGAAATATTCTTTAAAATATTTCTTTAATTGAGAAGTCATTAAACCAAGCAATTGAAAGAATCTGTCAAACAATGACGAACTTTGTTAATTCAAGTCAATACTCAATATTTGTTGTGAAATTTTCGATAAAAATTTTCGATAAATCTTAAAAACTATTGGATTTTTACGAAAATTCGAAGTTTTTTTTTCGAACTTTGACATAAATCTCGAATTGAGAGTTTATCTAACTACAGGAAATCTTCTTGACTTCTCCTTGCATCTTGTTATTTAATTTTATACGATAAACTATCAGACACTATAGTTTTGTAGGACTTCATAAGGCTGGTCGAACTTCAAAAGATTTGCTTCCACAATTTTCGATTTCTAAAATATTTTGAAATCCACCAATAAAAACAAGAAAATCTGCGAAAACGTTTTTTTATATATCCGTTGGAAAACTGGTTGCCTTGTATCATTGCATGTAAAGTAAACTTTGAATGAAAGTCTAGTATTTAAAACTCTAAAAGAATCACAGTTATACCTTTGCTCTAAAAAACTGTGCTGAACTGGCTCTGCTCGAAGAATAGAAGAATAAAGCTTTCTCTAGTTCTCTACCGGTCTATTCTATACTCCGTTATACACAACACAAAATCTTGCACTAGGCAAAAAAAACCGAGAGAGAGAGAGATGAGAGAAAGGAGCGGAGAATGAGAGAGAGGCAGAAAAGTATATTCTATGATAGGTTTTTTATTCTTTATTTTGTAATATATATGCAATAAATAATATGATAAATCCATACTTCCATATTCATTTTCAGTATTGTATTATATACAACTTTCAAATACAATACTGTCATTAAAAACAATAATATAAACATAAATTCGAAAACAATTGTAATAAGTGAAAATAAGTTCGAATGTCAGAAATTCTGAGTTGTCTTAATTGCAGATGATTGCAAAATTCAGTATTCATTTCATCCTTAATTAATGTTTAAATTTTTGAAGGTCACTGTTGTGAATCGGACATGGCATTCTGTAAATAGATTGTTAAACATCTAAGAATGATAATGAGTTTGTTTCAAACATTGCATATTTGTTACGCAAGTCTAAAACTTTTCCTTTCTAAACATTCCCCCCTGACATTTTCAAACTCAAAATTTGAATTTTTAAACACGGTCTGACTTCATTTGATTAGCCTCGGGGTAATTACATTTTAAAACTAATTTCAAAACTATTTGCTTCATAACAACATCAAATTCACATAAGATTTCTTAAATGTCGTCTTTCTATTTCACAGTTGTATGGGTCTCTCTGTATTATACAATAAAACCAAAATAAACTGGGGAATTTTTCTTTTAATAATAAAAAGTGGCTACAGCATTTTTTTTTGCAACTGAACTCTTTTTTAAAAAGTGCAATGATGATTTTCTGACATATTAGTTGCAACAAATGCACACAAACTTTCGCAACACTTCTTATAGGAAAAGGAAAAATGAAAACGACATTTATTTCACAGATTGCTGGTGCAATGTATGTTAATATAATTGATCTATCGACCAAACAAGGGTTAAAAAAAGGCACTTTCGCATAACCCCAGTGGGGGGGGGGGGTCAGTTCCCCACACCTTCTACGTAGAGTGGAATGCCAAATGTATACTTTTTTGATGACCTACAGGGTGTCCCACGAAACATGACAATAGCAAGACGACTTGAAAGTCGTCTTTGGTATTTGAATTTATTTGTGACATTTAGTCTTCTATCTACTTTAACATGTATGATTCTTGAAACAACTATCACATAATTCTCCTAACCCTGGCATTTCCAAAAAGTGGTCTGCGTTTTTTGTGCTTTCAATATTACTGGAGATATAAAGAGATTGGTTCAGATTTCAATTTTGTCAAATAAAAGCAAAATTGTCGAAATCCTAACGAAATTCTTCATATCTCGGGCAATATTCGAAGCACAAAAAAGGCAGACCACATTTTGGAAATGGCAGGACAAGGGAAATTTTGTGATTATTATCTCTAGAAATTTACTTCTAAAATTAGGTTGAAAAATAAACGCAGCAAATTATATGAAAAATCAAGACGACATTCAAGTCGTCCTGCATACTGTCATGTTTCGTGGGACACCCTGTAGCTTATTTTACAAACGATATGTATGACAGGGTGTCCCACGAAGCATGACAGTTGGTGAATGTTTAAAATGTCCATAATATGTCAAGTTGTTTGTTATCTAAGAGAATAATAATACATATTTTATTGCATCCACATTATAGTTAAATTGTTTTCTAAGTAAAATATATTAATTTGAGCAAAAGTTTTTTTTAACTATAAAGCTACAAAAAGTCTTTAATATCTAATACTGTATATGGAAGAAGACATTCAAAACTATTCACCAACTGTCATGTTTCGTGGGCCACCATGTATGTTAGATCAAAGAGTGAGAGTCTTAGAATTTGAAATATCAAGTTGCTTGCAACAAGCTAGTGTACACTGTACACCTTTATAAACGTCTTAGGACTCCCCGACGGTTTTAACCTACAGATACTTAAATAGATCGTAAGAATCTTTTCATTATAAAATTCGTAAACCATTGTAATAATTATTTATCATTATACATTTCATTTTTTAAGGAAATAAAGAGTTTTCTGCATTATCGGTTTTGATTTGAGGGTTATTCCGTTGTCTATCTGTTCATTATTGAGAATCTTGTTCCTATCCGACAACAATAGGGATCAGAAAAATTTGAATTGGGGTTCCTTTTATGGTGCTGGGACATTTCATAGAAAGGCACTTCATAGTCAGGACATTTTATAAATCACTCATCTCCCCCAATATTTTTTGGCCAGAGTATTGTAGATTACTGCCATTGTCCGCACCCAAAACTTAGGGTAAGATAGGACAGTTTATAGCAGACTGTCATTGACTGGACAATTCATAGACCGAACTTATTGCATAGATAGGACATTTCATAGACAGGAATTACATTTGTAGATTTTAATGGAAAGAGAGAAAACGTTTTTTTGTACAGTGATAAAATATTCTTACGATCTAAATCTTAGGCGACGTTTCGATGTGGCATATGAAAGTAGCCAATGAGTAGGGTTGCCAACCCTGGTGTTTCCTGACCTGTTTGTTGTATTTTTGCCTTGCCAGGTATGTTTTTCAGCAGGGATGCAACCTGGTGTTTTTCTTCTTATTGTTGGATTTTAGGGACATAGAGTTATGAATCCCACGATTATCACAGAACAAATCTGTGTAATTTCAGATTAAGGAGTAGAAAACGTGTTTTTGGGTGTTTTTTTTACCATTCAGTTGGTATCTTTTTGCATCATCAGGTATAGTTGGCATCAGTATTGAGATATTTTTTATTCCAATCATGTGGAACTTGAGTCAATTGGGCAGAACTCTTTCAAACTAATTAACATAACAACTAATTATAACTAACTAAGTGAAATTTAATTTTTCAATAAGGGAGGAAATGCACTCCTGTCCAACCCCCCCCCCCCCTAGAAAAAAGCTCTTGGAGTAAAGGGGACTGAATATAAGGTGGTCCTATCTAGAGTTTCCATTGAAATGTCGCATTATTAGTGAAAAAATTTTCCTTAGTAGAAAAAAATTGCGAAAATTTTTGCCTTTTCACGAAATTTTGCATTGATCTGTTTCGTGAAAAAATGCGAAATTTTTGAGTTTGTGAATTGTGGCTCAGTTCCTATAAAGCCATCAAATCATATTCTTCAGTATTATTTTATTACTGTAAATGATTTATAGACCCATTCCTGGTTTTGAACATGTTTATGATCTAAAACAGATTCCTGAGTTAGAATGTGTTCCTGATTCAGAATACGTTCCTGATTTAGAACAGATTCCTGATTTAGAATACATTCTTGATTTAGAACTCATTCATGAGTTAGAATGTGTTCCTGATTTAGAATACGTTCATGATCTTGAACAGATTCCTCAGTTGGAATGCGTTGCTGATTAAGAAGAGATTCCTGATTTAGAATGCGTTCTAGATTTATAACGTTAATGATTTCTGACCGTACTTTTCAAACAATTACCGTTCATTCTGGGTTCGTTATTGGTATGAAAAGCTGGAAACACATTTAAGCTGGCACAAGTAGGAAACAATTCAAATTAGACAGTTGAGTGGATTTAGACTATTCAGATGCTACCAGATCTGCTTAACTGAAAGTGGTATTGCTGCAACCTTTCAGACTGACATTTGGAAATCATAAATCTAGGGAATTCTTTACACAGATGTTGAAAATAATTTAGTAATGCAGAAGATGATGACGGCAGGATGCAAGAGTACCTAACCCTAAGGCAAGGAAGGAATGAAGTTCCCTGGAGATTTTACAATGATAAAATCAGGTTGTGGATACATTTTAATATAAACTAATACACTTATAAGATAATTTATTCTTCAACTGTTTTGACTTAATCCTTGACCAGGTACATTACCCCATGAACAGTTTGTTTATGCTTTTTTCTGGCAACGTAAATATTTTTAGATGTAATTTAAAAAAGACAATTTCTCTCAAAGACGACTCCTCACAAAAAGAACGATTTAATTTCAATTCTTCATTGAGATGGCAATGACTGGTTTACAATGTGGGTGATATATACCTTGAATAATTGTTTAATTCTGATCATTCCTATATGTTTTTCTATAGTACAAAAACAATTGAAAATGATCAGTTTCAAAATTCTAAATATTGGCATCTATTTCATACTTGATTGAACAAAGGTTTTAAGGGTACCGTTGTGAATCGGGCTCGGGCATGCGTAGATTAAGCAGGAACCGAGTTTAAACCAGGAAGAATATCTTGACTGTACTTAAAGAAGGAGTTGGAGAATATACTTCAGTCCCGCATACCATCTAGCGGGGTTCACATAAACTTTATATTCGGTAATGTTTTGAGAAAAAAAATAAAGAACTAAAATGGGAAAGGAAAATAAATTATAATGAATAAATAAATTAAATAAAAAAGAAAAGATAAATTTAGTCTTTGCCCAAACTCAAATTTTCTAATCACTATATATTTGTAACCTGAAGTTGTAAACCTTTGATATTTCAAACCTAGATTAATTAAACTAGGATTTTCTAATTCTAATTTTAAATGATCTCAGGTCTACGACATTGTGTTGCAAAGATATAGGGGTTGCAAAGATAAGGTGGTTAGAAAACCAGAGTTTGTGGCAAAGACTCAATTCTTTTGTAAGTAACAAGTACTTAAAAATTATGATCTTTTTTATTTTTGTTAGTCAAATTTTTTTTTGTCTGTTTGTTTCTGAAAACGACCGAACCAAATGAATCCTAATATTGTGTGGGGCCTGGCATGGCACCATGGAAATGTTTTCAACAATTATGACGTGAGAAGTTTACAACTTCTTACTTAATACTTACTAATTCCATCTTGACATTGATTGAGATGAACTATAGTAAAGTTGGGATTCTTTAGTTCAATACAGGGCAGGGGACAAAAATACTAGCTTTATAACCCACCGTTTAGAATATCAAAACCAAGCTAAGAACATTCTTGTGGCTTTACCGAGTTCCCCAATCAAAATTTGAGGCAAGTCGGTCCAGGGGTTCCTGAGTTATGATTGAACAAACAAACAGCGATTAAAACTTTACATAT